ATTCCCCCCCCCCCCCCCGACATCATTGCTGCTCCCTGCCTACACTGCTCTGCCGGGCCGGCCTCACTGAACAATCACAGCCCAAAAGCAGAAGCAGCACGGCAGTGAGGCAAGTAGACGGCCACCTCAGCCCACATTCGGGCCTCGCAGCTGCCTAATTTGTGTGAGCAGAAAGCCGCTCAAGGCTAGCAGCGACGGCAGCAGTGGGAGGATCGCACAGGGAGAGGCCAGGTAAGAGCCTGCACAGCAGGGGGGAGGGGGTCAGTGCACACAGAGATGGTGGGACAGGAGAGAGATTGGCACAGTGGCAGGGGTAGAGCTGGGGGGTCAGTGCACACAGAGATGGTGGGACAGGAGAGAGGTGGGCACAGTGGCGGGGACGAGCTGGAGGGGGGTCAGTGGACACAGAGGTGGTGGGACAGGAGAGAGATTGGCACAGTGGCAGGGGTAGAGCTGGGGGGTCAGTGCACACAGAGATGGTGGGACAGGAGAGAGGTGGGCACAGTGGCGGGGACGAGCTGGAGGGGGGTCAGTGGACACAGAGGTGGTGGGACAGGAGAGAGATTGGCACAGTGGCAGGGGTAGAGCTGGGGGGTCAGTGCACACAGAGATGGTGGGACAGGAGAGAAGTGGGCACAGTAGCAGGGGAAGAGATGGGGGGTCAGTGCACACAGACAGGGAGGTGGTGGGAAAGGTGAGGGGTGGGCACAATGGCAGGGCAAGAGCCGGAGATGGTGGGGTCAGTGGACAAAGAGGTGATGGTGGGACAGGAGAGAGGTGGGCACAGTGGCGGGGACGAGCTGGAGGGGGGTCAGTGGACACAGAGGTGGTGGTGGGAGAGGAGAGAGGTGGGCACAGTGGCAAGGGAAGAGCTGGAAGGGGGCCAATGGACACAGAGGTGGTGGTGGTGGGACAAGAGAGAGGCATGGGCCTGCTCCACAGTGATTTGTAGTCCTCTATAGCTGTGGTATTCTTCATTGCTGTATAATGTATTTGCTGGGATTTGTAGCCCTCTGTAGCTAATGGTATTCTGCATTGCTGTATAATGTATTGCTGGGATGTGCAGTACTCTATAGCTGAGGGTATTCTGCTTTGCTGTATAATGTATTGCTGGGATTTGTAGTCATCTATAGCTGATAGTATTCTGCATTGCTGTATAATGTATTGCTGGGATGTGCAGTACTCTAGAGCTGATGGTATTCTGAATTGCTGAATACTGTATTGCTGGGATATGTAGTCATAATTAGCTAATGGTATTCTGCATTGCTGTTTAATGTATTGCTGGGATGTGTAGTCCTCTATAGCTGGTGGTATTCTGCATTGATGTATAATGTATTGCTGGGATATGTAGTCATCTATAGCTAATGGTATTCTGCATTGCTGTATAATGTATTGCTGGGATGTGCAGTCCTCTATAGCTGATAGTATTCTGCATTGCTGTATAATGTATTGCTGGGATGTGCAGTACTCTAGAGCTGATGATATTCTGAATTGCTGTTTAATGTATTGCTGGGATATTTAGTCATCTATAGCTAATGGTATTCTGCATTGCTGTATAATGTATTGCTGGGATGTGTAGTCCTCTATAGCTGGTGGTATTCTGCATTTCTGTATAATGTGTTGCTGGGAATTGTAGTCCTCTATAGCTGGTGGTATTCTGCATTTCTGTATAATGTATTGCTGGGAATTGGGAACTATGCAGTGGCAGAGCTACCAGGGTCACAGCGGTTGCATCTGCGACTGGGCCCCAGCATTCTGTCACTTGGGGGGTGGGGCAGACAGGAGGAAGGGGGCCCTGGCAACGGTCAACATTGCAGGTTACGCGGCCCCCCTTCCTTCTGTCTGGGGCCCTCCATCCTTCACACTGTGCCTGAACTGTGTATCACAAAGCTCCATAGCAATAAAAAAACACAGTAATGTGCAGTGTGGATGACAGACACATTGTAACGACAGTAATGTGCCAAATGTTGTTTGGCAGAGATTCCATTCCTGCACACAAAAGTGTCACAGTTGTTGTTATACATAAACAACTGCAACGTAATGTATTATTAAAATATTCTGTTCTGTAAGCAACACCTTTTTTTCTGGTAGTGCCCCTCCCGACACTAGACTCTGGATCTGCCCCTGCAAATTACATGTCCTGTTAGGAACACTGCCATATTAGAGAAGGAGCCTAGTTATCATATTAGACTATTGTATCCTAATGTGTTTGGCAAGCATTATTTTACATAGTTGTTCCATTAAATTTTGTTGACTGGACAGATAAAAATCTGGCTTTGCTTGGCTGGCTTAAAGGGAACCTGTCACAAAAGAAATATGATAGTTGCTATTTTTTACTTGTTTTAATAGGTGCAGCTTCCAGAGCTGGCATTGTTATTTTTGCTTCATTACATAGTGATCGAATGCCCCAGGAGAAGAGTTTACACTTCTTGACACTTGATATCTATAAATTATTTCTAGGTCAGTGACAGCTCCAGAACTTGTGCCTTTGAAAACAAGTCAGAAAGGGAAACAACCATATTTTCATCCTAGCAGAGCCTACATAACATATACAGAAACCAACGTGGCTCAGGATAGCAACTAGCCACACCCATACAACACAATAGTTTATATAATGAAATGTTTAGAGCAATAGTAGACAGCATTCATAGGCTGGTTGTCTTAGACATACTCCATAATAAAACATTATTATCCGGTTCTTTCTGAACTTTTCGGAACTCTCCTTCTTTCCCTTTCCCCTATTAAATATAACATTAATGAGCAGGGGGGTTCGATAACAGATCTGGCCACCAGAGGTCTGGAGGCTAATACAGACCTACCTTGTGGTTAAATATTTACAGGCTTATCTAGTAGGCTAGTGGGAAATTAACTAGACACGTTTACTAATCTATAGCAATTAAAACATATTACCATTCATACTAGATTGTTTGCTATGAGTCCTTGTTTGCTAAAGTCCATGAGATACTGTTTGTGCTGAAGTATTGCACTTTATTAAATAAACCAGATCTAAGGGTTCCCTCAGAGCTTAAAAAACTCCAAACTAATTTGTTTAACTTTATTGAACTACAAATGCCACAGAATCTCCAGGGGGTTGCTTTGTACACTATCAGGGCTATTCACAAAAGGGTGAAGAGTTTGGAGAAGGCAGGAGAAGTGAACAATCTAGGCCAAAATAGCTGATTTGGAAAAATTATCCAATTCATCTCACTTTCCAGTTTTAGAGTTTAGAGAAGGCAGGAGAAGTGAACAATCTAGGCCAAAATAGTTAATTTGGAAAAAGTCTCCAATTCAGCTCACTTTGCAGCTCAGCTATGTTGTCCTAGATTGTTCACTTCTCCTGCCTTCTCCAAACTCCTCACCCTTTTGTGAATAGCCCTGTATGTTTGCAAGGTAAACATGGGACCCCAGACATAATATTATTTGGCAGTTCACTTGAGCCATCTGGCTTCCTGGACAACGTTCTGGTCACATAATTATTGCACAGAGTTGGATAAATTGTGGATGGCCCATGTACTCCCTAACTCTATGCTATGGAGCTCAGTGCGTATAATCTCGGATGCTAGCCTTTTTACTTTACACACATATCTGGAGGCAATGTAAGGACCGCTACATCCTGACTACCCCCCAAATCATTATTGACATCCTTCCTATGCACTCGTAGCATTCCAGACAGTCTGTCACCAAAGATCTTACGTTTGATCAGCTGACCCCCTTAGAGCAGCGCTCGCCAACCTTTCGGACCTCATGGACCACTAAATCCTGCGGACCACTAATAGGATTTAAAAAAATATATATATATATATTCTCATATTTTTTGTTTCCTCATATATAAATATATTCTCATATGTGTGTGTGTACGTGTATATATATATATAGATATATATATATATCTATATATATATATAAAATGTGTAAGTAGAATACATATACAATTCTGATTTTCTGGTAATATACATCTAAGATTTTGCACTGTATACAGTATATCCTGCTGCTATTAACCAGTGTTCGCAATGTAGCTATGCGGTCAGTTTGTTGTATCATCTCCTGTGGACCTGCCCTGGCACATACCCCCCTCCCCCCCATTTTAGGGGAAGTTAATGTCTTCATTGCTAAATTGACTGAGATATCACTTGCATTGGATGCATTTTCTAGGCCTCTCAGTTCGAGATATAGAAAAGAATTTGAAAAAACTAGTGCATCATATCCTTACAGCTGTGCACTGTCTGACCATTGCTAGATGGAAACAGACTTCTCTGTCCTCTTTTTCCGATCTTCTGCATAAGGTCAGGCAGGTCGATGGATCGTCTTACAGCTAGATTGTAAAATAACCGGGATAAATTCAATGCTATTTGGGACACCTGGGACACATATTTGTTGCTAACCCCTTTTTCAGTAGGCGTGTTACAATGCTAAGCTTTTATGCACTTGTTGGCTCTCTTGTCTCCTATCTTCCTTTGTTGCTGTGTTCTATTCCTCTTCTCTGTCTGTTTTCTATGTGTTTTCTTTCTGTAGTTTGTCCACATGCGCTGTGCTGCTGCCTGTTTTTATGGCCCCGGGATTCTTACCTCAAGCAACCGATTATGTTGTTGCCATATTTAAGGTCTTTGACTTGTCTACATATCTGAGAAACCTGAGTGTGCTGATGGCATTTTATATATCACTGGAGTGCACTACAGGTTTTTTATGGAACTTGTAACCTTTTTTTCTGTCCATAGCCCGAGGACTTTACTGCTTATCTTTGTGCTACATGTGGACTAATTCTACATCTGTTTTAGCTCCATGTTATGTAAAAACTTTAAATAAACCAGATCCATACAACCATTAGCCCATTTTCACCTTTGGGTGGTCTTATTCTGATTTATTCTCAGTATTTGCCAATTACTGATCTATAGGAAGAATGTACCAGACCAGCACTGTGCAATAATTGATGTAGTCACATAAGCCTGATTTCATTTATGAACCAGCCATCAGCTCTTTCTTCTTTCTGTTTCAATACATTTGCATTGAAAGTTATACAAAATACAGGCATATAGTACATCTGAAGCAGAAAGGTAATGGAGCCAACATAGGCCTGAGATACAAGATAAGGATTCATACATGAGAAGGAATGACTGGGAGGTCGATGTGGGAGGCTTGTACAATGAATAACCTATCATGCACTGCGATTCCAGGCACCTAAAGGTAATATGTATACCTGAACCGTTGCCTCATTATTGTGTCTGGGTAGAAGAAATAAAATAGCAAAAGAGAAGAGTAAGAGAAAGAGTAGTGGCAATGAAAGAGAGTAAGAGAGTAGATGGAGGAGGCGTAATGGGGCTGAGGGAGGGGTGGGGAGTAGGGACCTTGAGGAGATAATGCCCCCGAGTTTCTGAGTTAACATAATCTCCTTGTCGAATGAGAGTTAAAAAGTCAGTAGGGAGAGGTCAAAATCATTCAGAAAATAATGGCTTATCCTTGGTGTCCAGACTTTTTGAAATTTTCTAATGGAATTGCCAAAGATGGCTGCTATTTCTTTCTTTATTAGATACTAGGCTTTTTTTTTTGACCTGGGCTATCATCAGTATTGTGGGCCACCATGATCTCACCAGAATCTGTTTGGCCGCTGTAAGTAGTTTTGACTTATACTTATTGCAATCAGCAGGTTATAGATTAAGAAGTGCCTCATCTGGGTTTTTACCAACATCTCTTCCCGGGAGTGTACAGATCAATTGATAGACGTTAATCTAAAATGTTTAAATTTCTGGGCAATCCAACCAAATATGTTTAAGGGTGCCTATGTCATTACATACCCTGAAACATTTATTAGAAATGGTGGGTCGAAACTTTGCCACCCTCTGAGGAAACCACCATTGTATTAAGAGTTTGTAGTTAGCTTCCACAAGTGATGAATTAGTAGAGCCATGAGCTGGTGTATACCAAATATGGAGCCATTGCTCCCATTGTAGTTCTGTACCAAGGTCTTTTTCCTCTTTCTAGAATAAAATAAGTGCAGGTATTACTCTACCACGTGATTGAATAATTAACCACACAATTAGGAACCATGCTATCATTAAGGTCCCTTGGTGAACTTAAACATACAATCTTTGTAGCTGCTTGTATGCCTTTTCAGTAAAGAGATGCCATCAAGAGGATTCCTACGAGTGCCAGCTCTTTTCCACTTCAACCTTTTATGACCATAACCAAATCCAGGCATAGAAAGCAGAAGCATTGATTTTTGTCATAATGTTTTCTAATTATATAACCGTTATTCAATAAATGCAAAATAGTTTCTATGCATTTTATTTAAGTGGCGAAATATCCTGTTATTAGTAGTCCAGGATTGTCTTGAAAGTCATGTGTTGACACTGAGCTACTCACTAGCTAGACTGAGCCGTCAGCTGTGCAGTATGTAGAGTATTATATATAGCCCAGCACACACTGGGAATAGGTAGGGAGCAGCAGGCGTGACTGGACTGCAATGGGAGGGGGGATCACAGTGCAGGGTGCAGTGGGGGGAGTTCTCTAATTCTAGCTGTCAAAAGTTAGTCACAGAGTCACACAATACTCCTGAGCCTGTCACAACGGTGTCACTGCATTTGTCATGTGTCTGGCACAGCATATCTTTGGACTCACAGCAGTAATTAGCCAACAGCTTTTACTTGGGGCAGCTCGATAACACCGGTAAGGAGGATGAGCTTTTACCTGCAAATGTGTTTATTACACCTCTCCTGTATGTGCATGTACAGTGGTTATATAATGACTTTTAGACACACACACAACACATAGAAGCATAACTGAAATCAGTGAATCTCAATTCACACTTGTGCGTCTGCAATTTCATTCATTTTTAAGACATGTTTTTGTTGCACGTTTTAATGCAATTTTTCATGCGTTATTTTTTGTTTTGCCAATTAAAGGTGAAATAAAATATATGTTGCTAGGGAGTGGGGGATTGTTATCACGCGCTAAAGCGCACGAAAATGCCTGTTATACTCTTTTTTCATGTATTCCTTTTGAAGCCTATTGGGCTACAAATGCACTATGTAGCACCAAAAGAAGCACCTGTACATTCATAGGCATGAATGGGCCCTATAGAGAACAATAGGATTCCATTTGTTGTGCATTGTTACGCAATGTCCGAAGCACTTCAAAGCACACAGGTGTGAATGGGGTCTAAAGGTCTTACACTCCTGCACCTACCTACTTATAGCAAATTACAATGGTACAATGGAAAGTAACTACTTTAATGACAATAGACTGGGATTCTTCTTTTTTAAGCACATAGTTAATGGACATTTTAAAGTAGAGCCAACATTGTTTATTTTTGTAGAGTAGTGAAGGGTTAAACCTCTATAAGGTTTTTATTGCTGTCTGCAATGTCTGCTGTCACCCTTACTATTCGTCCTGGTGACAGCGAAAGCATTAACCATTGTTCATATTGTTAATTATATAAGTTGTCACTGGAACAGGAATACAGAGGAAATTATTCAATGGGGACACTTTTTTTCTAGTAACAACTGTCAGAGAGGATGCTCCTTTGGAGACATCATACCTCACTTACTGTTGTGCTTGGAAACAAGAACATTTTTCTCCAACAGGATACAGACAGCAAATAAAAAAAATAAATGTTTTTACATTATATATACTTTAACTGTCTCTACAGAGACAGACTGATGTCCTTTCTGATTCCAAGAAAAATGGGAACACCTCTGTACTGAGTGTAATACTAGGATCTAATGCAATTCCTTGGTCGGCTGCCTGGTTATAAAGTTTTTGCATCGTCATGATGGGAACTAATGTAGTGTATAAATACCAAGAGGGTGTGTTTAGACGTGTTCTGATAGTCCTTTCATTGCTCAACACTTTGTTCAATCTTCATGTTAGTATCACCTGTCATTATTTTTCTTAGACACCATGAGCTGCTACAAAGACACCATGGACAGCAGTGACGAGCCTTGGTTTGCACACAAATACCAACACAGCCTGCCACTACTTAAACCTTTTCGCACTACCAGAAGGTAACTGTATTTGATTAATCTTAGTAACTGAGTGTGTGGCATTAATCTTTTGATTAATAGCTGTATAGTACGTTCTTGCTATTATAATCATTATTAGGGATTTGCTGTAACTCAGCTAACTCTTTCAATGCCATTTTGTAAAGGTGCATTTACATGTAAATTTCAAGGAACGTGTGGAATAGGTTTTTGATTGATAGCTATATAGTACATACTTGCTGTTATAATTGTAATTAGAAATCTGCTGTAAAACAGCTATATCTTTTAATTTTTTTTTTAATGGCACTTACACTTTCAAGAAGAATTTTAAACACATATTTTGAAACCCTTCTGGTTCAAATATGGATTCATTAACAATATTTAATGGGGGAATTTATCAGAACTGGAGCAGACAGAATCTGGAGGACTTGCCCATGGCAACCAATCAGCATCTCTCTTCAGTTTGCTCATGAGACAGATAAGCTAATTGGTTGCAATGCAACTCTGCTCCAGTTTTGATAAATTCCCCCCAATGTGTCTTAAAATAATTCTAGTATATTCGACTCGAACATCGAGCTTATGACTAATCACCTGCAGGGTACCAGAATTGCGACTGCAATGTCCAAAATATTATTACATTTCAGATACCCTTTTAAACCCATAAAACTTGTTAGAAAAATGTATCCCTTCATATTTATGCTGTTAGTTCTTTGTTGTTAAGAGAACATACATTGCCTGTGGCATTAGTTCTATTGTCACACCTCCCATCACCGGCAAGGTACCAGAATTAGGAATGCAATATCCAAAATATCATTAGGTTTCAGACATCCTGTTAAACCCGTAAATCTTGTTAGCATATTTTTCTACTCCTATTTATACTGTTATATCAAACATTTTCTAAAAGTAGCCATTAAAAACCTCTTAGGTAAAGAACAACTATGAATTAGACTAGTAGTGATTTTTCTTATCTCTAAAGCTTGTGACCGATGTTTATGAGAAATCAGAGAAAAAATACATGGTTGGAAAGACTTTTTCATTATATTGCCAACATCTTTTAAGCTTCAAGGCAATCGGAATTGATGTGTCATCATGCAAAGAATGTGTTTTAATCTGGATTGCAATATAACCTTCATGTTTTCATTCTTTGTGGCATAGATAAATAAAAAGTAGTAGAAGGGCTACATGTTGTACCATAATCATTTCAGCAGAGATCACATGAGCAAGTTCCTAGGTCTTCCAACAAGCAACCTTGAGGGGATCTCAGAACAGCATTTTTTTCTAGGAATGGGAGTTTCCTGCCATTCTGTTCCATTTTATTCATCTATCCAAAAGGAATGGTAACATAGCTTTATGTTAATACTTAAGTACAAGTGTACTTTTTAGGGGCTTCTTGAAGAGAAACTACATTTTGGAAGCTGTGACTAAAAAAAAAAAAAGGCCGACAGGTGTCAAAGGACCAGTCACCAGCATTGTATGTGGTCTCCCTGAAGATAATCGTTCCCCAATTGCTGACTGACCATGTCTCATTCTTCACTGTATCTCTTTATGGAGGCAGCCATCCTGGTAGAGGCAGAGTTTTGCTTCCTCATGTCAGAGCTACCAGCAAGGAGAACAATGAGAAGCAAAGAAGTGACATAACCAAATCTTACTTCAAATCTTCAGAGACTATCAGTCAGAAGCAGCAGTGGCGTATATCCCACACTATGGGTATAACTATTGGGTTGTTGGCACAGGAGTGCTTAGGCACCCTCACATACCAGGAAGGGCACTGTCATTTTTCAGGAGGAGTTTAAAGCAAAAGGTACATTTTTCAGGGTAGTGTTTAGAATTAATATTTCTAAAAATTAACTGTAATATAGCAAATATTTACTTTTTGAGTTCAGGTCTCTTTTAAGGTACCCACACATACTATCATCTGATTGGATGGTTCACTGCATTAAGATCAGGTAAAACACAGATTTCGGTGGAATGGACAGCTAACTATCACCTCCCATGATCAGCTGGCAGGCCAGCCTCTAGTGTTTGTGTTTATGCTCTTTGTGTAGCTAGGTGTGCTGCCTGTAGATGGAGGTCCATGGCAACTAAAGACTTTCCTTTTTTTATTCCCTTTATTTCCTTGATTTAGCCTACTTTGCTTGTGTTCACAACTGCAAGTGTTGATCCCTGTGTGTTCATCAGCACAACCTAAACAGTGTCTGCTATGACTAGTTCTTGATTCAAGATTTTGCTAGTCAGCTTGATAGACTGCCTTGCTTCAGCTGCCAATAGGGCAAAGCTAAGGGCAAGGACTTGGGACTCACCACGGAAAATTCATATTTTCTTACAGGACCTCCTTGAGCAGAGTCAGATTTTTTTTCTACTCTACTCCATATTATGACATGTGTCATATGAAATATTGTACAATAGATCATAATATGTGTAGTTAGTATTACCAACTCAGCAGTCTTAGTGTTGAAGGTTTTTTTATACATCATGCATGTAGACGCACTTACCTGTAGCCTACTAGGGTGCATGCTGACTAACAATGGGGATTCAAATAAACATTTTCAGTATAACTTATTCATTCAGTAATGGTGTCCCTACATTTTCTAAAATGGTTGTTTATACCCAGGACAAAGCCCAAGTGTGATCCTTTCTAATCATTTCACAGGTGTTTGATGGCAGAATTTAATGTGCTTCTGGTTTTTCAAAATAACCTGCAATTTGTTAGCTCAAGCTAGTCTTTAGCAAGAACCAAACAACCCAAATCCTGTGTAGTGTTTTTATAGCTCTCAATGATTCAGTTCGTACATACCCCACTGCAACTCAATCATTACAGCTACATTTACCTAGCTTCCCTTGTTGTGTGGAGAAGTTAATTATTTATATTTTCTTGTGGAAACTCCAGTGCAGGGTGTGTGACAAACCTGACAACAACCCAACAGATTTGGTTTGACTTCTGCTCTAGATCTAAACTTCCTATGATCTTCGCTATGTTTGAGTCACTAGCTATAGACAGATAACAGAATCTGTGTAATAAAGTTGCTCAATGTGAATGTTTGCAGTTAGTTTGAGATTTAATTTATTTACTTACTGAAGAAAGTTAGCTATAATTAATTATTGAAAGGTGAGAAGTGATTTCATATACATCAGGTGGGAAGTCACAAGAACATTTATACCTCATGCACATGGGCCAACTATGTTAAACACAGGAGAAGTTATCTGGGAAGTATAAACAACTTTTATATTTCCCAGGTCACCTTTTCCTGGGTTTAGATTTTTCTTAAGGTTTTGTTATGTTTCAGATACCAATTCAGATACCAGTGCCAATACTTGGGATATTCATGAGAACTACCAGGGTTGCAGTGGTTGCAGCTGCAATTGGGCTTTGGTGCTCCACCACTGTCCTGAAATCATTAGCCTGTATTGTTTTAGAAAAACTGTCACATGACACTAAACAAAAATGACACACTCTAAATCAAACTTTCATAGAGAAGAGGTTTATGTTGAAGGGAAATCTTATAGACAGTTGTCCTTGAAATGGGTGTCCTTACTAGAAAATGTCTATTCGACCCTGCTTCCTGTGACACAGGACAAACAGAGATGGTGAATCTTTCCATCAAGAACACAGAGGGCAATAAAAATCTGACAGAATTTTATCTTTTCCACACTCTATGTGAAACCAACGTCCCCTCTAAAAACCACCCCCCTCCTTACCTGAATTGCAGGATGTTTCTCCCTACAGGATTCTAGCCATGTTGTCCATTCACAGAGATCTGTGCAGAGGGATTCGTAGATCTCAATGGTATACCAGTATGGTCATGTCAGCACACTTGTAGTTTATTGTTCACTTCCTCCAGCTCCATAACTGAAGATCCGTACCTCAGTACAAATCTAGGGCTTGGGGAAGAGTCTTCAAGTATTTTGTGTTATATACAACAGATAAACAAGAAACCATCAAAAATAAACCAAGACAGTACTTACAATGTGAAAGGGATAAGAGAGAGAGAGCTGCCTTCAGTCCACTAAAAATGTAGTCAATGTACACTTCCAATACAAACTTGCAATTGCAAAATAAATATACCGTATATACTCGAGTATAAGCCGAGATTTTCAGCCCATTTTTTTGGCTGAAAAGTGCCCCCCTCGGCTTATACTCGAGTCAGCGCCAGCGCGTCTTCTTACTTACCTCGCCGAGCGTCGCGTCACTGCTGCTCCGGTGTGCGGCGCTCCGAGCGGGGTCATCTGGCAGTCTCCGGGTCCTAATTTAGGTGGCCGGATATTATAGAGTGGTGTACTTTAGGACACTGGAGTACATGAGAGGTTAAAGACCACCTGAGCTCAGCCTTCCAATGGCTGTGACCTTCCTAGAACTCTACTAGCAGCTCTACCAGACAGTTCTTATAATGGAAAACCACACTCACAATATGTTTCCTTGTACTACCACCTGGAAATATTAATCAGCAAAGCCTGTGCTAGTTCCTTTTTCCAAATGGCATTATAAATAAACCTACAAAACAGAAGCTTGATGGGTGTAGCTTTCCTTCATAGTAAATGTCTTCTGTTAGACTGAGAATGAGTACACCTTTCCATTCAGAACTGTCTTGCATTTAACTGAAAATTGGATGTGTCTGCACCCAAGGGCTGCATAAGAGCAGCTAAGAGCTTCCTAGAGAAGAGAACTGTAAATATATGGGTAACATAGTGGCTTAGTGGGTAGCACTTCTGCTTTGCCTTGCAGGACTGGGAGTTCCTGGTTTGTACAGTGGCGTAACCAGAGTTATGGGCGCCCGGGGTAGAAATTTAGATTTAAAAATGTAAAGATTTTATTTTTAAAAAATGTGTGACCTTACCTTAGCATGGTGGTCAGTGGGGGCTTCCTGGACCCTGGTTGTGGGGGGTCTGCCGTGGAGCCTGCATGGTGCTTGCAAGTTCTCTCTGTGCTTCCATAGGTTGCCTCCAACACTCATGCTGGTAGGTTAATGGGCTCCTGCCTATATCAGCCCTAGTGTAGTGTATGCATACATGTGAGATAAGGGCCTCTGAACAAGCAGTAAAAGCATGTTAAAACAAGCCCTCATTAACCTCTGTAGGGTCAGATGCGTTGGGCTGCACTTGGCAGCCCTGTCCAGCACCATCCCACTGCATAGACAATGTAAATTGTCTTTTTTTTCACTGCAGCATGTTGCAATGCACTACAACATATCACAACACGCTGGGGTGAATAGACCTGAATGAAATGTTGCTTGGCGACATTTCAATAAAAAAAGCTACCGTATATACTCGAGTATAAGCCGTCCCGAATATAAGCCGAGGGTGGGAAATGAGGCAGCTACTGGTAGATAGATACCATTAAAATACATTAATATTTATTTAAAAGAAAAATAACCTAGCTCTGTAAGTGGAAAAGGGGGTACAGGGCTACATACAGATCATTTAATACATTCATGTTAGTATCATTGTAAATGTATTGTCTGCACTGTATTAGCAGTATATACTCTATATAGAGTATATACTGCTAATACAGTGCAGACAATACATTTACAATGATCCTCTGCTAACATGAATGGGTTAAATGATCCGTAGTACATGATATGTAGCCCTGTACTATGGATCATTTAACCCATTCATGTTAGCAGAGGATCATTGTAAATGTATTGTCTGCACTGTATTAGCAGTATATACTCTATATAGAGTATATACTGCTAATACAGTGCAGACAATACATTTACAATGATCCTCTGCTAACATGAATGGGTTAAATGATCCGTAGTACATGATATGTAGCCCTGTACCCCCTTTTCCACTTACAGAGCTAGGTTATTTTTCTTTTAAATAAATATTAATGTATTTTAATGGTATCTATCTACCAGTAGCTGCCTCATTTCCCACCCTCGGCTTATATTCGGGACGGCTTATACTCGAGTCAGCGCCAGCGCGTCTTCTTACTTACCTCGCCGAGCGACCCGGAATTAGGACCCGGAGACTGCCAGATGACCCCGCTCGGAGCGCCGCACACCGAGCAGCAGTGACGCGACGCTCGGCGAGGTAAGTAAGAAGACGCGCTGGCGCTGACTCGAGTATAAGCCGAGGGGGGCACTTTTCACCCAAAAAAATGGGCTGAAAATCTCGGCTTATACTCGAGTATATACGGTAAACAGTGAAATGCGCTAAAATCAGCGCATTGCGCCTCTCCTCTCTTCTCTTCCGGACACCAGTGCCTGTGTGATAGTGCAAGCTACTTGTGTGAACTGACCCACAAAGTTTACAAAAGAGACATTAAAACCTTACAAAGATACAGTATATTTTTTCCTATTACTTACTATTGGAGCAGAATCTTGGCAGCCAGCCAGCTCTCTAATGTAAATGCATAGAATGCGTTTGTTGTTTGAAACAGAGAAACAGACTGTAACCTAATGTGTTGTGATCTTTCAGGATCTTTGGGAATGTATTTCTTCACAGTACAAACATTTCCATAGTCTGGGCACAGGTGTACTTTAGATTGAAATTAGCCTTCATGTTTCTGTATCATTTCATTTTAGATATGCTTTTTACATTCAACATTTCTGTAAACAGAAGCAATGGGAACTCGGGTTCAGGACCTTTTGGAATGAATTTAAGCACTGATTTCAAGCCAGATCTCGTTCCACCCAGATCTTGTTCCACCCAGGACTGGATTGCCAGTGTTGGGTAGACATAAAGTCCGCTTGAACTTTTAGCTTAAATCAGCGAAATACATTCCAGGGGCACCAAAACAAAAAGGTGTGCAAAGTCATACAATTATTTTTTCCTTTACAAGCTCCAAAATGCCCCATGCAGAGCCAGACATAGCGCTCTGCAATCACAGGGAGCATGAGCTTTGCTGAATGCAGAATCTTACTCAGCAGAGGGTACATTGGAACTCTAAAGAAAGACCACTGCTTCCACACGGAGAGTAGAGTAAAGGTAATTCTTTAAAGCATGCTGGCAGAAGACAGACTTTTCTACTCTAGGCTGTGGCTGCTTTCTGAAGAAAACCAACTGTAAGTCTTTGTACACCTTTTGTGTGGACCAACTTTTGGAATGCATTTAGTTAATTTAAACTGAAAGTTAATTTGGACTCTAACATTTAAATTGTATTCATAGCCAAAACTTTATTTTTGCTTTGGATAGAGTGGGAAAAGGTTACAACCCCTGTCAATGTTTTACTTTAGCGTTTCTCTGTTGGGAAGATTCACCCTCTCCATTTGTCCTGTGACCTTTGTCATCGGGGCTGCAAATGAGGAACAATCCAAAAGTCTGAGTTGTCAGTTGAACACAAATAGAGGTGAAATATTCCAATGTGGACATTTGTTCCAGTGACAGTCTTCAAGAGGGTATTTTCCTTAATGATAGATGACATATATTGTCCAAAATATTACTGTCAGAAACAGAACAAGCACTACGCTAAATCCATGACAATTTTGCATTGTAAAAAAGGAGATTTGAAGTAATGTTAAGAAATTACGTTAAATTAGCTTTTTGTAACTGTTTATTTTCAGACATCATCATCCTATAGATAACGCTGGCTTCTTTTCCTTCATGACTTTAAACTGGATCACACCACTTGCAAGGAAGGCTTACCGGCTCTCGAAGCTTAATATGAATGATCTCTGGGATCTTACTTCTCAAGATTCAGCAGAAAAGAACTGCCAAAGGTAAACTGTTTTCTTCTTCAATAAACATTAAAACTTTGGTAGAGAGTCTAACTGCCTACTTATCTTCCCCATAATTCACATTGTTTTTTTGGATTATGGAGTTCACAAGTAACTAATCTTTACTTTTTGTATCACAGGCCTGATATACAGTATATATATTATGGCTATCAGTTAGGATTAGGCTGCATAGGCAATATTCAGCATTTGACCGAGCAATTTAAAAACACAACTGCAAATCAAATTCTATTCTTCTTTCGGATAAAGTGGGAAAGAGTTATGACATGTCAGGTTTTCAATGCAAGATTGAAGAAATAGGTCACCAGCACTCCATAAGTTAAAATGAATGAGTCCTTTTAATGGACAATGATGTCACAGAAATCCAACATGAGCCGACGTTTCGGGGCCACACAGGGTCCCTTCTTCAAGTGAAGTTACTTCGAGCACCATTTATTTGATTGTTGGCCGGGACTGCTGAAAGGTGTGCGGAGGGCACCTCCATCAATTGCACCAGGTTTTCAATGCAGTCTGCAGAGATTTCCCCCCCTTTGTGTGGTGACAGGGATAGTAAGTGCAGGGGTTCTCACCAAAGGGGATGAAGACAGGAATTAAAGTACTTTCTTAGTGGAGTAGAGAAAGGGTAAGGCTCTCTGTTAGGATTCCATTGCTGTCTGTGTACCAGTAGGGAAGTTTGTGTAACAGATGAGGTTATTGTTAACAAAAGATGAAATCACCCAGTAGCAAGCCACTAATATAATTTATATAGTTTACTCTGACTCAGCAGAGGGCGCATTGGAACTCTGCAAAAAGACCACTGCTTCCACATGGAGAGCAAGGGTACTTCTTTAATGGCCTAGTTCACACCAGCCACAGTGCATTCTGACCCTATTGGGGCCGGAACACACTGTGGCTGGTGTGAATTAGCCTAAAGCATACTGTGAGGTCTAGTCATAGGCTTGTCATGGGCTTTTCTACTCAGGGTGTGGCTGCTTTCTGAAGAAAACCAACTGTAAGACTTTGCACACCTTTTTTGTGTGAACCAGTCTTTTGGAATGTATTTAGCTGATTCAAACTCAAAGTTCATTTGGGCTGTACGATTTAAATTGTATCTATAGTCAAACCTTTTTTGTTTTGGATAGATTGGGAAAAGGTTAGGATCCCTGTCAATTTTGTACTTTTGCTGGTTCTCTGTCGGAAAGCTTAGCCAAATAACTAAAACACTTAGAGGTACATGACTATCTTTTTAAATGAAGCCATACTGAAGATGTATAAAAACTGTTATTGATGATCACTCCTTCTGAAAATGAAAGTTACCTCTCTGTTTTGTTTAATCCATAATTTCAGTATTTTCTGGATCACTGACACATGACCACTATAAAGATTAGAATGGTCCTGTGTCAGTGACTCCGAACCATTATAAAGATTGGGAGTTCTGACTTCAGTCTGTTTCTCGATCAAATGCTTGTTTTAGGCCAATAACTAAAAGTATAGAAGATTTGGATCAACCTGACAGTTAGGCAGCTAAGATTTGCAGATTTAGAACAGATGTTTTGCATTCATGACATAATTTTCTATTAAATACAAAACTCAAGAGGTCAGGATCTCATTATGCGATAATAGATGGACATGAGAAATAATTTGCTTCTGTAATTTATTATGCACAGATCAGTTTTTTAGCAAAATGCAGCCATGTAATTCAAAATCTTGTCACTTGACCAGCATTCCATATTACTAGGAAAGACAAATGCTAGTTACAGTTCCTGTGCAGGCAACCTTCTCTTGAGCCGTATTTATCAATGAATCTTTGAAGTGAATGTGCACACAAAAATATTTACATATTCTGAATAAGCAGTAAAAGAATTTTAAAATAAGCCTCATTCACCTTTGTATCTGTAGGTGGAGAAATTAATTTTCAAAGTTCACAACAGAGGCACAGAGATCTCAGCTTTTTTTTTTGCTATGGACAGTGGCAACAGGTAGAACAACAGTCTTATAAACATACTTTTGCAACTGTGGCAGCAGTCTTAGGAACAGACTCTTTGAGAATGAATAACTTTACATTGCAAGCAGCTAGATAGCCTGTTTAAAGCTATTTTACTGTTTGTTAAGAATATGTAAATAGTCTGTAATCCAGCTGGTTAGTGTAGTTCATTACATAATTTTCTTTGTAGACTATATAGTGTGTATATATCTATATATATATAGATGTATATCTATATATATAAATTTATATAAATGGGTAAGCCGTATTAGTCCAGTAGACAAGATGTCAAAAAAGACAAAAACGCAGTATTGCAGTGTAATACAGTGTAGTATTGCAGTGTAGTGATATACATCTATATATATATAATATTACTGTAATCGATATTTTATTTAGTTTAATTACATTATACTCAATCTCTGTTGTTTACAAAAATGATGGTTAAAAACAAACCACATCTGATAGATCCCCTTTTTCATTGCTAAGTCCACCAGGTTATTGTTGTTATATCTACTGTTCTTCCTTCAGTTCTTATAACATGGTAAAATATATTTGGCTCAGAGCTACAATTCTGTGCCATTCTATTAAAATAACAACCCCAAAACATAGTTGTCTTTGCAGTGGTGCTACAAAAATATTTGAACTCTGATCTGACTCACAATATCCCTGTAATGATTAGTATAAAATAACAGTTTTTGTGCTTGTGAAGGCCCTGTAGTCACGTACGGTTTAAAAATGGAAAAAAAGTCACAGAACATATAAAACAAACCTTTCAGCTCTTGTGTTTTTTTCTCAATAGACTAAAGCAAGAAAAGATCAGCTGTTAATGTATTCCTTAGAAATCTTAAAACTTCATATAAAACGTACAGTACACAAAATCTATATTAGTAGGTAGGCCTTGTTCAAACAGGCTTCAGGTTGTAAACTCTTGACCTAGGAGCACTGCAGACAGCATGCTGTAAAAAAACCATTTGGAAAGCTTTCGGCCAGCCTTGAGTGGCTTCCACTTTGGGATGTTAATAGAGACGGACATAGCATATAGCAGACTTTGTACCTGCACAAGGGCCCTCTGAGACTTAGAAGCCCATTCATTATAGATGTGTGTTGGACAGATTCCAGAATCCCTTACACTATTATGTAGACTCTAGGGCAAGTGAGAAGCAGGAGACTTTTCTGATGCCCTTACCATGTGCCTGTATTGGACATTCATTTGTATTCGGCACCTCTTTTACTCCCTACCTGACCAACACTGAAGAATAAAATATACTATCTGTCTACCCATCGATCTATCTGTGCACAGTGAAGAACTTACTGGGAAAATTGTTCTTGTACAGGAGCCATATGGTGACATTGTCTGTCACTGGGTGTTAACCTAAACTTTAATGGAAGTGCTGGTTGTCACATTATGGCTTTAGAAGGATTTCAGCACACTTCATCACTACTTAAAACTTCTTGAAAGCCTGCTAGCAGCTTGTTTAAAGTAACCTCTCCAAACTGGAACTGAAGCATGCTTTATACACCAAATACAGCCACATTGTTTCATTTTGCTTTGGGTAAGGGTTTAACCCTCTCACAAACTTTTAATGCTGTTTGTGTTAATACTGCATAGGTTTGATAGGATGTGAGGGAAATTTCTGCAAGAGGCACACAAACAAACACACGTTAGAGGGAAGTAGGGTTATAACTCCTGACCATGTTTTTATTGCTGTCCTTATCTACATGTTCGTGCCTACTTGACAACCACAGCCGCAATTTTTTATATGGGAATTACAGGGACAGGAAATGAGTGCATCATAAAACATGATACTTTATTTGATTTGTAAATCACTTGATGTTCAAGAGTTTTTTCCTCTGTGACAGGTTCCCTTAAGGGTATGTTCATATATGTACCTTAATCTGCCCATGGTATGTCTGCGCCAGCTCTGTTTACTACCTGAAGCTCCACTGGTCCATATAGGGCCATTGAACACCATGTGTAATCTACCAATGATAAACAGAAACATTCACATTGCACATCTCCAGTCATATTGCAGCAGTATTTACTATCGGAATTGAGACTACTTTTACCATATGATTGGTTGCTATGTGCAACACCTCTAGGTTTCCTTTACTTTAGAATCCAGGAATCATATTCAAAAATCTGAAGCCTTTAGGCTGAGGCCTACTTCTGCATAACTTGTTTTACTATTTATATCTGTCATTTTAAAGTCCATGTGAACTATCAGTTAAATCCATTCCAGGTGCATCAAGCCAAAAGGTGTGCAAAGTCTTACAGTTTGTTTTCTTTAACTGCTTCCCGTCCACCGGGTGTTCAAAACTGGCTGGATGGAAGCCTTCTAGGCTGGGCGTCTTAAAATGTCCTTACCTGCCCCCCTCGTGTGCACCACTCAGCGCGCACACAATTAGGGGTAAATTCCTAAAATGTAAACAGCCAGTGACGGCTGTTTACATACAAGGCGGTACGGCATCTGTAGATACCCCCGATCGCTTGTATTTTGCATGAGGTGTGCGCCCCCCGTCGCTGCCTCTGCTGTCGGTTCTGAGCCCCCTAGGTGATGGCAATAAAATTAAGTGTAAAAAAAGTTTTAAAAAATGAAAGAAGCATAAAAAATAAATAAAATCACATATAATTTTTGTTTGAAAAACGCACAAATTTAAAAGTCTTCTGCCCTCACATAGACACGCAAATATGTGTCAGGTGCGCCAATGTGCGAAAAGGATGATTTTGCCCATTGCGCCGCACATGTTACATATCATCGCGAACGTCAGAGCGTGAGCAATAATTTAAGGGCCATCAATCACTATTAACACTAAACTAATGAGCGGTAAAAACTTTTAAAAATGTCGCCTATGGACAATTTTGGGTATGGTAGTTTTTTGCGATTTCGTGAGCGCGCACAATTTTAAGGCTTGACATGTATGGTGTCTATTTACCCGACATGACCCAATTTTTTATATTTTACCAAAAAATTGGGTTAATAAAAAAATGTTTCATTACATAACTTAGGGAAAACAGTTTAAAAAAAAAATTTGGTACTTTTTTCCTTATATAGTAAAAACATAAAAACCTCAGGGGTGATTAAATAACACCAAAAGAAAGCTCCGTGTCCCCAAAAATGATATAAAAGTCATTTCAGTACAGCGTTGCATGACTGAATAAATGTCAGATAAAGTACCACAGTGCTGAATACTGAAAAATGGCCTGGACAGGAAGGGGGTTTAACACACCGGTCTTTAAGTAGTTAATAAGCAGCCACAGCCTCAGTAGAAAAGTGTGTCACTGCCAGCAAGTTGCAAAGAAGAACCCTACAAAGGACCAACCTACCATCTGTTATATAAGACCTAGAGCACACCAATCAGCAGGAAGCATGAGTGTTGTACAATGTAGAGATATAGGTCTGACTTAAAAGGGGGTGTGTCAGACATCTGAAGAGGGACTACTGCTTCCACACAGTGGGCAAGGGTCCTTCTCTACTTTACAGCAGGGGGCAGGTTTTCTACGCTACAGAAAGTTCAGTTGGGCTTTAAAACATCTTTGGAATACCATTTAAATTATTGTTATTGCTTATAAAATATGTAGCAATATTATACTGTATGCTGCTTTATTAACTGTTACTAACAAGGGTAAAATAATACGAATACATACAATTATCTTAAAATAACATAAACTGTTACTGCAAAGCATGTACAGCAAAACAAGATACAACAAGATGTGTGAAAAAAGGGGGGGCGGGTTGGCAGGAAGGATAAAATATATACAACTGCTTTCAGCACCAGTTCATGCCATTGTTAAAGTTTATGGAGTACAGATTTTTTTTCAGAGCAGAGCTATAGCATTTCTAATGCTCTGTTTATGTCATTTAAAAAAGATTATACTATACCAGGCTTCCTCAACCAATGTGCCTTGGCACCCTGAGGTGCCTTCTAGCTTCCGCAGGGGTGCCTCAAATTTTTGGTACAACATCATGCTTTTAATGACGCTAATCCACGGAGGATGTGTTCCAGAGATGGATTCATTGCATGGGGTCCCCCCTTAAAATCCTTACCAGTCCCGTATCTGGGACAAGGGTCTGGTATGGATTTTGAAGGGGCCACCCATCGCTTTTTACATTTATCTTTAATTACATTTTTAGACTGGGGTGCCTCGAAAGTTTGCATACTTTTAAGGGTGCCATGATGAAAAACAATGTACTGTACATGTGACATTTTGTTACTGTTGGTGTGAGTTTGCATACTAATTTATTCCACTTGATGTCAGGTTACATCGACTTTGGGAAGCAGAGCTCGAAAAATGTGGGAAGACAAAAGCATCCCTGAGGATTGTGTTATGGCGTTTCTGTCGAACTAGATCCCTGCTGGCTTTCTTGTGTCTCATTGTCACAATGGTGGCAAACTTTATTGGCCCTGTAAGTTCCTGTTTATATACTTGGTTGATTGTTATGGCATGAAAGGCATAGGTGGATGTAAATAGTACCTGTACATCCCTGATACCAAGTCAAATTCAGGTGCTTGCACTGCTTGCATTATGAAAACACATTTCATTAATTTATGATTACATATCTGTATTAATAGCTGTATTTTATATTTACCTAGGGTTCACGTTTAAGCAGTCTGACAATAAGCTAATAACAATGGGCAGTTTCCACCTAAGGACAAGATATTATTTTTTGCTTCTGTATATTAGACTTATTCCTCTTTGTAAAGTAAAATCAAACTATAACGCTGAAACACATTTTGTCTTTTTTAAAATATGTTTTTGCTTGTTTAAAGGCAATCTTTATCCGAGCACTGCTCGAGTACTCAGAGGCTGCTGAATCCAATCTTCTTTATGGGTTGCTTCTTTCCTTTGGCATTTTTGCGGCAGAGCTCGTAAGGTCTTGGTCTTTTGCACTGAACTGGGCAATGAACTACAGAACTGGAATTCGGCTAAAGGGAGCAGTTTTAGCCCTGGCTTTTAGAAAGATCCTGAAACTTAAAGAATCAAAGGATGTCACGACTGGAGAGGTAAACTCACTGGCTAATGTTCTTGGACATATTGGTTTATTGTCAGTGATTGACTAAAGTGCTTTTCCTTCCTACTCAAAGATTCGTATGTCTCTACCTTTAACACCTTCACGCAAACACTGCTTTAGCATCTGCTTCATTATGATTTTAGGGAAATTAAGCTGAAAGTATTCAACTAAATGAAACTGGTCATTGGTATGCAAATACTTAGATATTAAATTCCACTGCCAGGTTAAAGGGAATAAGAGAACTGTGTGCCTTTGCCCTGGTTAATAGTTAGTCATTTTCTTTCTAGTTTAAAGGTACTATGTGGTTTTTAGTGCTAATGGCTTTAATTAATAGGATACTGAAACGTGCAATAACTGTGTACAACTACCGTCAGATTTTACAGGGTTATTCACAGAAGGGTGAAGAGCTTGGAGAAGTCAGGAGAAGTGAACAATCTAGGATAACATAGCTGAGCTGCAAAGTGAGCTGAATTGGAGACTTTTTCCAAATTAACTATTTTGGCCTAGATTGTTCACTTCCTCTGCCTTCTCTAAACTCTTCAACCTTTTGTAAATAACCCTTTTAGTGTTTTTCTTTCAAAGAAAGAAAAGCAGTATCTGACTGGTAACTATGGGTTGTCACACACCATTGCTGTTTGTATTGCCTTATAAAATAAGCTAGTATGTCTGAAATTCTTTCATGTACTTTTAGCTAAATTGATCTTAAATAGCATAGTCATATCTCTGTTTTCTGTAAAGCTAAACAAGTTACCGACCATGTCTAAAGCCCTTCCTGGGAAATACTGTCAAATAAGTAATACAATATGTGATGTCCCTTCTGGTCCCTCAAGACTATATGTGACCAGTCCATTTTGCCCTGTGCACCTGTGTTAGATAGTTGAGGGCTTCCTAATATACTGGGATATGTTATATTGGCTGTGACACTTTACTAAATAGAAGAAGTGATAGACATTTAAATCCTTTGACATTTTTTTGCTGCTTTTGGAGGAGAGGGGGGTGGGGGGGGGGGGGAGCTCCAGCTAAGACACGCTGGGTGTTATGTACCAGGCTTTAGACTCCAGATGACCCCCACAACTGCCTAGGGTAAGCAGGGGTCATAAGAAGCCACAGACACTCAGGGACATCTATAGGAGCAAGCAGTGGAGAGAGTGATGGCCTGAATCCATTTGTACTCACAATGCCATTGTTTTGTGTCCTGTAGGCGAGGCACTAGCTGTAACCTATACAGTACACTAACAAGAAAAAAGGGGTCATAGATATTGGGTGTGTTGTGATATTTGATAAATAAGTTGTGTGTTTTGTCTTGCAGCTTATTAACATGTGCTCTAGTGATGGTCATCGGCTTTATGAAGCAGCCTCCATTGGCTGTATGTTAGCTGCAGGTCCTTTTATTGCTCTCATGGGACTGCTGTACACCGTGATGTTCCTGGGACCAACAGCATTAATAGGTTCTGCTGCATTCATTTTGTTTTATCCATTAATGGTAAGATGGTACATGGTTTAATTATTGTAATATAAAGGATACTTTATGGAGTACAATGACACCAAAATACATTAAACGTAAAAGCATTATATATAAAAAGTAAAATATCAATATTATATTACATTTTCATTAATTATATTATAGACCATTTATAGCTATATTTTTTGGAGAACTCCTTGTCAAGATGTATGTTTTAGTATTGCCTGTGTTACATAAATAACTGTTTATCAATGTCTGCCTTTTGTTTCTGGAAAAAGCGTTGATAGAAATAGTACAATTCCATCCCATTGCCAGCTTGTGACAAGGTCACCTCAGAGACAGCTGTCTCAATTTAATCTACTGAGGTATGGGGACAGTTCTCTGCTACCTGCTCATAGACATATGAAGCTTATTGGCTTTCTCAATGATTGGTAGTTCTGGCATTCTTATAAAAAATACTGATACTAATATAAAGTTTTCTATTTTGTCCACTGTGGTTATACTTTTTCATTGTTGTTAGGTGTGTGGACTCTAAAGTTAACAAACATTTGTGAAACGGTCATTTAATTGTATTTTGCAAAATTGTTTTGTGTTTACTGGTTTAAAAGTTTATAAAAAGTTAACATTTTTGTTCTGTTCATGCAAATACAGTGTGTTAAAATCCCTTTACCTTCCTCTAGATGTTGGCCTCGAAATTGACTGCCTACTTTAGGAAATGGGGTATCAGAATCACAGATCAGAGAGTGAGAACTATGAATGAAATTTTAACCTGCATTCGATTTATTAAGATGTATGCATGGGAAAACACTTTTATGCGTAATATTCAAGGTGGGTGCAATTTATCCTAGAGAATTAACATCTTGGTGGTAATGGAGTTGTTAACAGTGATATAAAAAGTATATATATACACTATATTGCCAAAGCTATTGGACGCCCCTCCAAATAATTGGTTTCAGGTATTCCAATCACCTCCATGGCCACTGGTGTATAAAGTCAAGCACCTAGGCATGCAGACTGCTTCCACAAACATTTGTGAAAGAATGGGTCACTCTCAGGAGCTCAGTGAATTCAAGCGTGGTACCGTGATAGGTTACCACCTGTGCAATAAGTCCATCCGTGAAATTTCCTTGCTACTAAATATTCCACGGTCAACTGTTAGTGGTATTATAACAAAGTAGAAGCAACTGGGAACAACAGCAACTCACCCATGAAGTGGTAGGACACGAGTTTGGGGTGGGGGAGTTTGACTGGACTGCACACAATCCTGACCTCAACCCGATAGAACACCTTTGGGATGGATTAGAGTGGAGACTGTGAGCCAGGCCTTCTCGTCAAACATCAGTACCTGACCTCACAAATGCGCTTCTGGAAGAATGGTCAAACATTCCCATAGACACACTCCTAAACCTTGTGGACGCCTTCCCAGAAGAGTTGAAGCTGTTATAGCGGCAAAGGGCGGGCCAACTCAATATTGAACCCTACGGATTAAGACTGGGATGAATTAAAACAAATTAAGACAAATAGGCACACGATCATTTCCAGGATAATACATGCCGCAGATCAGCAGAACGATGAGTACATAGGGGATTTTTTTTTTACTGGGTTTACTGTGTATATATACTGTATATACTTACATCTCTTAAAGCCCAGTAGTGAGATCTTCTTGTCAGCTCTGACCATGATTTGAAGTGTTTTTTTTTTTTTTTTGGTACTTTGTGGGTTCCTACAACTCCTGTTGCATTTCCCATAGCATACAATAAACACAGAATTTAGCAGAGATAGTGGAGAGCCTTCACAATGGCCTGGCAGGTATTCAGAATTGGGGACTGCAATACAGAGACCTCACAAATCATTATTAGTTATAAGCATCAGTTGTAAGCATCAGTATGATAGCGCAACTGCCGAGTATCTATTAGAATGTAAAATATCACTGTTGGGTGAACTTACACTTTAAATAACCTGGAACATTAAAAATATGGTCCAAAATATCATCACTTACTCAGGTACAGATTTTCAGAAAAGCATCTTCCATGCTGTAATAAAAAAAAAAGTTGGTGCATTCAAAATTCAAAATTCACTTTGCAACAATAGATCCTTCTCTATAATGACAATTCTTTTCTAAGAGATTTTTTCTTTATTACTTACTTACGTCTACTTTACCACTATTTTGCCTTTTTAGCTATCAGAAATGCAGAGAAATCTTTTTTGGAAAAGGCCGGGTATGTGCAGAGCGTCACCTCAGGAATAGCTCCAGTGGTGGTTGTGGTTGCTAGTGTATGCACATTTACATTACACATGTCTCTTGGATATGATCTGACAGCACCACAGGTAAGAAATGCAGCTATGGTAGAATGGTGTGTGTAGTATACCAATTTATAGGTGGATTTATATGACATTTTTCTCAATTACCCTCTGCACACACTGTACTCCCTTCCCTTGCACACATGACCCATCTAACAAATGTTTGCATAAAGACAGGGATCCTTGGTTTGCATGTACAGTATATTGTATCACATGTTTAGGCTGCTCATCTGCGTGAACATGATCCCTCCCTGATCAGTCCCTACTCTACTCTGCAAAATGCCAAATACTTTCCTGATCATAGCATACTTTATTGGACTTCCATCATTTATATGAAAATTTAACCATAGTTGCTTACTGGCCTAAAATTTGCAAGGCGCTGGGAATTGTGGACATTCATCACTGTTACAGTGAAATTCCTGTTTTTTGGAACTGTTACATTCAGTTCTTGCTATTCATTCATATTATAGTTTCCTTGCATTCAAGCCTATGTAGACACATGAAATGCCAAGCATAATGGTTAGAAAAAATGGTATTGGTGCATCCCTAATATATATATATATATTAGGGATGCACCAATACCATTTTTTCTAGACCATGTACCGATACTTGTCCAAGTACTCACAGATACAAGCACTGATACATTTTTGTTTATTGTCATGTGACAGTTTTTCTAAAACAATACAGACTAATGATTTCAGGACAGTGGTGGGGCGCCAGGTCCCAGTCGCTGCTGCAACTTCTGCAACTCTGGTAGTTCTCGTGAAAATGCCAAGTATCCGCACTGGTATCTGAACTGGTATCTGTGCATCCCTATAACTAACCAATAAAGTGTTCTTTCGTGTTCAGTAATTTCATGTTTAATTTGTACAGGCATTCACTGTAGTAACTGTATTCAACTCAATGACCTCAGCGCTCAAAATGATTCCACTTGCTGTTCGAGCTGCTTCTGAAGCTTCTGTTTCCATCTCCAGATTTCAGGTGGGTAAATCATGTTTTATGTTCTCTATTTTGAAGTCTCAGAACAAGCGATAGGTGAACCTGTTGTTTCTAGACACACCAAAATGTGAAAAAATAAATAAAAAATGGACATGTGGTTATTTCAGTTCAAACAGAAATGCTAAATAAGTAATTATGTTCCTAAACCACTCAGAAAGCTTAACACCAACATGATCATTTACACAGCACACTGGGTGTGTAATTAAAATAAAAAATTTGGGTGCTATATGCGGTGTGGTGCTACAAAGTATACAAATCTTGCCTTGTGGCATACTGGCTTCTACACATACAGTAACGCTTAACTTCCTGGTGCTGCAAGGAGTGAGGGATGTGACTCGAGCACTAAAGGGCTCCGCCCACATCACACCCTGCTCCTCACTATTGCCAATTCACAAAATGCCTTGTAGTTTTTCCTCAAAGAATACAAGGCATTCTGTGATTAGACGAAGAATTGTGGAAATTCAATATAGAAATACATATTTATTTTTAGTTTTTGACCATAGATACCTTTTAATTTCCATTGTTGCTTTGTATTTTTCCACTTGGTTATAGAAGCTGCTCCTGATGGAAGAGAGCACAATGAACAGCAGTGAAAAAATAAATGCAGACTTTGCCATTGAGTACCGGGATGCTTACCTGGCATGGAATTCAGGAATTGTAATCTCAAAGGAGACGTGTGAGGACCAGCCTAGCTATGCATCAAAGGATAATGCCATTGACAAGAAATGTATTCAGCAGAATAAAAACCTGTGTCTGCAGAAGGATCCGTTCTTAACAAATGGAAATCAGAACACAAAGTCAAACCCCATCTGTGCGGAAGATTTGGATTTGTCTATAATGGCGGGTTCACCTGTGCTTCTTAATATCAATTTCACCTTACAAAGAGTACGTTTTCTTAGTTGCTTAGTTTAGTGCTAGATTTAACTTGAATTTGTGTTTGCCTGTTTTGCTGCTCAATGCCCCTGATTAACAATCCCATATTTAACAAGCAGATTTAAAAAACAATTTCCTGCTGGTATGTGTTTATTAAAGGATAAGTTCTAAATTAGTAAAGTATACTCCTAATACTTAGAGCTGGCTTGTGACACAGCAGATGTTGTATGCTGCCAATATACCAAGATCTAAGTGCTCATATAACTGCTGATTGCTCGGTTCACGGACTTCTCCCTGCATAGAGCAGTCACTGTCAGTCCTCACTCCACGCAGGGATTCATCTCTCCCCCCTCTATCCTTACAGCCCTCATTGGAAGGACAGACAGAGGTGGGGGTGGGAACAGCTGGCTCTGGCTCTAGAGAGGCAGAGCCAGCTGTCAGTCAGCCAGGTAGATGCAGAGAATATTGTTGGGATTCTTCTGGTTGCAGAGTGGCTCTGCGCTGTCAACATATATCAAGCAATAATTAAGAGATCATTGTGTATTTTTACGCACCTGAATATGACTTGGTATTTGTCTCTTGCAATCCCGTGTACAGCAGAGCTCAGACTAGGTGGGAGAAGAAGGACTGGGAGACATTTACTTGTGGTTCTGATCATTTTCTCCAGGACAGAAAGTTTACTGAGTTGTCACCAGAACAGGAATGGGTGGGAAATCTTTTAATGGAGACACTTGTTTCAGTGACAACTCTCTAAGAAGGGATTTCTCCTATTTTCAAGATATTTTCTCTTACTTCTTGTTGTGTCTAAGGAGCAGGAAGTGAATTTTATTCTCCCCACAGACACAGATGGAAGTAAAAAAGTGGTAGGTGTATTAATCATTGCCTACTTTATCCAAAACTAAACAAACCATTGGCTTTAGCTGCTTTAACTGCAGACCAGAAAAAATAGGTCACCAGATATGGCTGTGTTGTGTGGCAGACCTGTCTGTGAATGTGGGGGGTTGTTGATGTGAAAGGTGGTCTTCAAATGTGAAGGGAGAGGACTTCTAAAGTGAAAGGAAAATTTTTATGTTAAAGGGATGGTGACTCTGATATTAAAGGGGGGGCTTCTAATGTGAAAGGGGGCTTCTGGTATATGAAAAGGGGCTTCTAGGGTGAAAGGGGAACTCTGGTTGTGAAAGGGAACTTCTGATGTGAAAGGGGGGGTCTTCAGATTTGAAGGGGGAGGTTTATGATATAAAAAGGGACTTCTAAAGTGAAAGGAGGAATCTGATGTGAAAGGGGTCTTCTGATGTGAAGGGGGGGGGGGGGCTTCTGAAGTGAAAGGGGGACTCTGATGTGAAAGGGGACTTCTGATGTGAAGGGAGGGGCTTCTGATGTGTGAAGTGAAGAGCAAACTCCAAAGTGAAGCAAGGGGTTTGTAATGTGAAGTGGAGACTCTGATGGGGGGAATTCTGATGTGCAGGAAGGTCTCTAATGTTAAGGGGGGATTTTGATATAAAAGGGGGCATCTGAAGTGAAGAGTAGACTCTAATGTGAAAGGGGAACTTCTGATGTAAAAGGGACCTTGTAATGTTAAGGTGGGGCTCTGATGTGAAAAAGCCCCCCCCCCCCCCCCCTATCATCATCCAGTGCAGATGTCAATCTCCTTCAACCCATCAAATGCAGTTCATTGCGCATCGCTATTAGCTTTGTCCCCTGTCCCGCTCTGTACTTCGCCCTCTGTATCTTATTTTACCAGAACAAAGGTGGCAACCCTACTTGTTACACATGATGTAAATGACTGTGCTATAGAATCATACGGTACAACAGAATACAGATCCTAATGAAATGGAATTTTGCATTCACAGGGTAAACTTGTTGGAGTTTGCGGAAGTGTTGGCTGTGGTAAAAGTTCGTTAATATTATCCATACTAGGTCAGGTATGTTGAGCTAACTAATGTTTATATTTGATTATGCAGTACAGTAAAATAGTACATTTAAAGTGCATGTGGAATTTTGTTCCTGTATAAATAGCTCCCCTACTAAAACAGTCATATTTATACTATAGACTGACGAAATGCAGTTTGTGTGTAAGTTGTTAGGTGTGCATCAAAGCTGCACATAATATGCAGATGTGTTTTACATGGTGAACTGTACATCTAAAATTTGACATTAGGGCCAATTTACATTTGTGCAGTGTGTTCACACACATGCATTAAGGTGTGTCGCGTTCATTTGAATGGGCCATCTAACACACCAAAACACACAAAAAGGTAAAAGCACCATTTTTAGCAATGCAACACACTCCAATGCACGGCAGTACATTACTATGCATTGTGCTGTCCTGCAATGCAGGTGTGTTGGAAAGGAGTGTTGAGGCGCACCACAAATGGCACCACAGTGTACTAAAGTCTATATTGTGAGCTGCATCACATTGTATTATCGCATGTGTTACCGCAACGCAACAGTGTGAATCAGGCCTTACTACACTAAATGAAGATTCATCCCTCATTTAAAGTGATATTAAAGTCAAAAGGATTTTAAGCTATTTCAAATGCTGATGAAATCACTTACAATGGATGCTGCTCCTTGATGTTTATAAGTTTAGTTTCCTGCGGAATCAGCTGGGCCCCTGAGCAGTGGTCCTTATATCCTGCTTTAGAGTGACTCCTTTCTCAAGCAGAGTGCTATGCAGTCACCCTTGTGTGTGCTAGTAAGCTGTGTGAGTCTCCCCAAACACACAAAGTAAAGATGGGGCACCGGCTCTCGAAATAGCGAATAGTGCGTCATTTCATTAACCCACCAGTTGTTTTTGGACTAAGTAGTCAGGAGTGCGATGGGTTCATGGACTTCCACAAACACAGCAAATCAAGCTACCCCCCTTCACCCTGGCCCCCTCTCCTCCCTCCTACCTTTTCCAAGCTAGTAGATGAACAGTTGCTGGAGTCTGCTCTGTTCTCTGTGATCTTGTGCTGGACAGCAAGTTCAGGGAAGCTGAGCTGAGAGACTTGGAAGCAGCTGTTCAGAAACATGATGATTGTAAGTGTTTGGGCAAAAATGTAAAGAACTGCTTTGCTGGGCAATGTATATTTGTTTGATCTGGATTCATTATTGAAAAAAGTTTGAGAGTTTAATATTACTTTAACATTAACAGGTCTATTCACAAAAGGGTGAAGAGTTTGGAGAAGGCAGGAGAAGTGAACAATCTAGGACAAAGTAGCTGAACTGGAAAGTGAGCTGAATTGGAGAATTTTTCCAAATGAACTATTTTGGCCTAGATTGTTCACTTCTCCTGCCTTCTCCAAACTCTTTACCCTTTAGTGAATAGACCTGTATAAAATAAGATATAAATTGATGTCCCTGTTGGGCTATCCAGTTTATTCACATAGATATTCTAAATATTGGGGATTTGTTTTTTACCTAATCTGACATTTATTGAGCCATGAATGGGGTGGTCAGTACAAAAGCCATATAGATATGAGAATGTGGTGCTATAATAACTAAGCCAGATCTGCACACATATAGACAAACTTTCACAAATATTTGACCTGTTATCACTGTGACCATCTTGATAACACCTTTGCAGTCATGACATGATTACAGTGCCAGCACAGGTGGCAGGAAAGATGTTCTTGTGTCTGAAGAATGGAGCGTTTCAAAGTTCAATACTGAATTCAGATCTGCTGTATTAACTGAACCTCTCCCTAAAGCTGGCAATACATCTATAGAATATCTGCGGATTTTCTATGGTCAGATGGAAAAAGTACAAAAGATTCCTCCATCTACGCCAGGGGTCTCAAACTCAATTAACTTGGGGGCCACTCGACAAATGTTTTTCTCCCATGGGGGCCGCTTGCCAAATGTCATACTTTAAAATAAAATTAAACTGTATCCGGTTTGGTACTACGGACACCAATACACACACAATAAGGCCCCATTCATATCTGTAAGTTCAGGCGCGATTAGGGATTCCTGCGTTAGGAACTTGCACTTTCCTGCAGCAGGAATAACTAATCTGGTGTTTACAAGTCGCAGCTGTCACCTGTTCAAGTTCATGATCAGGTGACAGCAGCTGCATGTAAACGCCTGCACACCGCATGTAATGGTATGTGATATGAAGTAATTTGGTTAGGAATCAATTACTATCCCCGGACGCATCGATTGTGCATCCAGGGAGAGTGTTTTCTAATCGCATGTAGTAATATCACATATCATTACATGCCATTACAGGCATTTACATTCGGCTGCTGTCACCTGATCATTAACTTGAACGGGTGACAGCTGCCGCTTGTAAACGTCAGATTAGGGATTCCTACTGCAGGAAAATGCAAGTTCCTAATTGCACCTAAACTTACAGGTGTGAATGTAAGTACCCAAACAATTACTCTGAAATCATGTTGAATATTTAAGAGCAGCCCAATGCGGCATTTCTACATAGAAAGAATGGTGTAGACCAGGGGTAGGCAAACGTTGGCTCTCCAGCTGTGGTGAAACTACAAATACCATCATGCATCTGCCTCTGGGAGTCATGCCTGTGGCTGTCAGTCTTTGCAGGGCCTAATGGCCCTGCAGGACAAGTTATTTTTACTTTATCCAGCATGGCCTTTCTGTCATGAAAACTGGAGTTCTATAACAATCAGAAGATTAGCGTAACTAGCTGTATGCCATTTCACAAACACACGTGACCTATAACCTTCTTATCTATCATACAGGACACAGCAAAGGGAAACACATCACTGGCACACTAAGTACTGCAAAGTCATTCTGTAATCTTTTCCTCCAAGAACATATGAGCTAAACATAACAGATAACTGAAGGTGGCCTCTAAAATAAGCATATGTCTGGAGTTAGCTTAGTTACATAGTTAGGCAGGTTGAAAAAAGACACAAGTCCATCGAGTGCAACCTATAGCATAGATGAGGAACATTGCCGATCAAATTTACCTGGCCACTTACCTCCATTGCTGTTTCAAAAAAATTCTTCCTTTGAAAGGTCAAGAAATACAGGTTTAAAATGGTTACACATAGTGATTTGTAACTTTTTATTGTAAATAATTATGCGCTGTTGCAAAGGTTCGTCTTTAAGGCTCAATCATATTTGTACAGTGTGCACACCAGTGCAGAGACCTGCTCCCGGGAGGGATGGGTGCTGTGTGTAATTGTGTGCAGCTGAATGTGCATCGCTATGGGAGGATGCGGCTGTACGCGGTTACATGCTGACTCGAACCTGCACATCCATGCAGGTCCGGGTGCCCAACACTTGGACGCACACGTTGAGCCACGAAATATAAATATATATATTGTTTAAATGTGTTAGCAGTATAATTTAATAGTATAGAAGATTTATTTTAAATATTCATAATTACTAACATGTATTTAGCTATTTAAAGTTCTTAACCCTAAAAACTCTTTGACTTTGTGTGTTATGAAACACGCCTGGTAATGTGGCTGTTCACTGTATTTTATCTAGATGACTTTACTAGAGGGAAAAGTGTCAGTGAATGGCAGCATTGCCTATGCAGCCCAGCAAGCCTGGATATTTAATGCATCCTTGCGAGATAATATACTGTTTGGGGAAGATTATGAAGAAGAAATGTAAGCTCTGTTCTAGTTTACCTTGCAAATCTTGGAGGTTATGTAACCTGTTGCTAGTGCTGGTGTCTAGCTGTGCCTTTGCAAAATAAAGGAAAGTTAAAAAAAAAAACTGCTATGTACAATAACTTTTCCTAATCATTTTTATTATTAAGACAAAATCTTTTTGTTTACAATTAAGCATTTAATGTAGGGAGATACCATGCTTTAGTGTGTGCAGTGCATGCTGGGATGGTTAGTAAGGAAGCCAAGCACTAGCTTTGCACTTGCTGGCTGCTTCAACAGATTGAAGGTCTAAATGTACTGTCTGTACAATTTCAGTTGTAATACATAGACATTTAAAGCTGAACTCCAGGCAGATATAAAATACATCAGGGGTGCCCACAATTTTTGTGTTAAGATCTACTTTTCAAACAACGAGCTACATGAGATCTACCAACGAAAAAAAAAACCTCCCTTGCTCTCTCTCTCCTGGCTCTCTCTCCTCGCTCTCCTGGCTGTCTCTCCTGGCTGTCTCTCCTTGCTCTCTCTCCTGGCCGTCGATCCTTGCTCATCATCCTGGCTGTCCCTCCTTGCTCATCCTCCTGGCTGTCTTTCCTTGTTTTTTCTCCTGGCTGTCTCTCTTCACTCTCTTGGCTGTCTCTCCTTGCTCTCTCTTTCCTGGCTGTCTCTCCTCTCTCTCTTTCCTGGCCGTCTTTCCTCTCTCTCCTAGCTGTCTCTCCCCACTCTCTCTCCTGGCTCACCTTGCTGTATTTTGCAACAGGCTGTGTAAACTAATATTCTTTGATGTAATACATAGCAGTTCAACCAGCAGTATCCACCAGAAAGGTGTCAGGGAGCTTGGCTCAGCAGACTCAGGCTAATAGGTAATCATGTGTGCACAGCTAAATAAATATACCAAAATGGCCACCATTCACACCCTTCGTGATCTACCAGCATCAGCTTTGAGAGCTACTGGTAGATCACGATCTACCTAATGGGCACCCCTGAAATACACAAATGAATGCAGCTCTTCATCCATTATTGCACAGTTAAATGCATATTTCTAAATGTAGGCAGTGTAAGTACCTAACTTTGACCTTGTATCAACCTCTTGCAATCCCCTATATAACAGCACTCTGACTGGAGAAGGGAAAAGCCACACCAGGAGACATTCAGTTGTGCTGTAGTTAGGTAGCATGCTGATAGGAGGAGACAGCAGACTGGCAGTTTGCTGCTCCTCCTTTTACTTTCCATTCACAGGATGGGGGCAGAAGCAAGACCTATAATGTTATTGAGCCAAAATAAACAGGTCTTATCCCCTGCTAGATTGAGCCGAGTGCGGCCAGATAAAAGACGGCATCTTCAGCCGATCGGCTCGTGTGTAACAACCGAATGGACTTCACATCGCAACGCGCAAGTTTTTACGCACAAGCCGATTGGATGAAGATTACATCTTTATCTCGGCACGCTCAGCTATGCGAGCTCTCACAAGCTGACGTGTCAGGGTGAAAATGACATGACACACTGCATACGAAGGTCCGCGCACCACCACTCCACGCTGCTACGCATGCAGTGTGTTTAGCCTTTAGTAAGTCTGCTGCTGCTCCGGCACTGTCCAGTTATAGGCTTGGCCAGGCTGTATTGCTTGACTGTGGAAAAGAAAAGACAAGACAGGTCACCAATCGTGTTGTGTTGGGCTGTACAAATTTTACAGCATTGTGCTAGGTTTGCTTTGAGATAAGCCTAATGCAATTTGATCAGACTTTGTAATAAAATGATGCAATCAGTAGAATGCTAAGGGCAAGATCCATCCTGTACTGATCTGTGTTTAATGATGAAAATTCTGGTGGTTCCTATGGGTAACTGCAGTTTTCATATCGCGCTTTGATTCTTTGGTAAATGAGCCTATAAGGGCCTGTGTCAATAGGCTTTTGTTCACTTCAAGTGGGTTTTACGTTCCTATTCAAGTCTATGGAAATGCAAAACCTGCTGAAAGACCCGCTGCAGATCAAAATGTGATTGACTGCAGTTCTAATATACCTGTCAATGAATTGTGAATGATCCTAGAAATTTGTCAAACCAATGCCATCAACACAAGTCTAAAGCCCGTGTGAGCATTTTCAGGCATTTTTGAATTGGTTTTTGCTCATTTTTTCAGACGTTTTAAAGCAAAAAACATCTTTCAGCTGCTTCCATTGAAGTCTATGGGATCAAAAATGAATAGTTCTGCTGGAAAAGAAGCTCATACACTTTTTCAAGCTTCAAGCTACTGGTGACACAATGATTCGGTGTGAATGCGTACCTTTGAAAATAATGGGATTCTTCATGTTGAGCGGTGTCACATGTCCGGAAACAGGCAACAAGGGATGAATGGGGACTGTGCCTAACCACTTTGGTTGTCGCCTAAGAATGCTAGCCTCAAGCTGTTTTTAAGTTTTGCTTTTTAATTCTGTTCTGTCATGTACAATATTTAGCTAATTCTTTATGAATAATTCAGAAATGTATTAAAGAGCCAATTAGTTATTCAGGTTGATTAATAGTTGTATTATTCTTGGCTGTAGCAGGTCATGAGCTTTGTTTTAATTTCACTTTACTGCTGACAGGTACAAAAAGACATTAGAAGCTTGTTGTCTGTACCCTGACTTTGAATCTCTACCCACTGGGGACTTAACTGAGGTAAACTGCTTCTTCTACCGAATATGACCGTCATATATTTTATATATATCAGACTTCCAAATTGTTTTGCTTTGAGACTACAAAACCCAAAGATGTAAAGCTTATCTCAAGGACGAGCCCAAATGTAATGCTTGGCAACATTTTAATTTCTATTTTGTTGTCTAGTCCTGCAGTAAAGCTCAATAAAACTGACCCAGTAGCATTTAAAGTACTTTACTTGGCAAAAATGCTGCGTGCACCAAACTTAGTTATAGGAAAGCAAAATAAAACAAAACATACAGCTACAAACAAACATACATACACATGTGCCCACTACACTATGCTTTCTAGTACATGGGATAGATTGTGGAAACACCAAAATACTTAGGGGTCTAATCATAAGCTGCAGTAGGAGCTAGCCGTAGCTTAGGCTGATCCTTCAGCTAGCTTCGGCCCCAGGACCCCTTCGGTTCTACTGCTCTCACTATAGCCCATACAGCTCCCGAAGAAGGCCGACTGGCTCAGTCGAGCAGCTGGGCGGAGCCAGTCGTCATCTCACGGCTGACTCCGGCCACTTGCAGAGAGATCAGCGTCCCTGGTTACCAGGTAATCAGGAACGACATCTGTCATTACACACTGAGAACCCGGCGGGGCCGCTATGATATCACAATGGCCTCTCCGGGTTCTCAGTGTGTAATGACAGATGGCGTCTGTGGTTACCTGGTAACCAGGGACACTGATCTGTCATTACTCTCCCGGACGCTCTGGGAGTCTAATATGGCTCCCGGCCGCCCTGGAGAGAAACACTTTCTCCCGTAAAGGTTTATCTGCTCGATCGAGCAAAGTAAACCTTTCCTTGCGATCTGTTTTTTTTTTTTTTCTGACATGTGGCAGCTTGCTGCCCTCAGTCAGGAAAAAAAAAGCCAGCATAGGAATGCATAGCTAGATTCCTATTGGCTATTGCAAAGTGAAATAGCCAATAGGAATCTAGCTATGCATCCCTATGGCGGTTTATTTTTTTTATTTTTTTTATTCTGACGGCAGCAGAACCGCCCAGCCAATAGAAAACAGTTGGGCGGAGCCAGCTGTCAATGCTAGCTCCGCTCAATCGTTTTCTATTTTTATTTTTTCTACTTCTTTAACTGTTTTTCCAATTCTGCTCGGTACCACAGGGGTACCGGGCAGAATAGCCGAGCGTATGCCGCTTTCCGGCATTCGGCTATTCACTCACTGCTGATCGGCATCTATGATAATAGGCCGAACAGCAGCAAGTAGACTGCCGGAGGTTCGGCTCAGCCGATCCAGCAACAAATTCTTTGGATTAACTTTTTTTACAGTGGAATAAACTGATCAGTTGCTGTGGGACACACATACAGTTCTAATGTTAGATTATAGGACCATTAGATTATACCCAACAACATTTTTTTATTATGATAATTGATTTTTCTTTAAAGATTGGCGAGCGTGGTGTTAACCTGAGTGGAGGACAGCGACAACGGATCAGTTTGGCTCGATGTCTTTATAGTTCAAGCAGCGTTGTTCTTCTGGATGATCCTCTCAGTGCCGTAGATGTGTATGTAGGAGCAGAATTATTTAACAAAGCGATTAAGAATGGAATGCAGAACAGGAGTGTCTTATTGGTTACACATCAGTTGCAGGTACAGGTGTACTGTGAGTACATGTGAACATGTCCACAGCAATTAGCTTTAGCTGTCCCATGAACCATGCCCTAAGAAATCAAATATAAAATAAGACTGTTATGATTTCAGAACATCTTTCTTTTTGTTTTTTTGCTTTACAATAGAGGTTCTTTTGAAAGCTTGCAAACATAGCCTCCATTAAAGGATATATATTGTAAGTCTTTTCAGTTTTTTTAAGATATACATATTAAAGGGATTAGATTGATTTGTATATATATAGGAAGTCTTCTCACCCAGCAGCAGGCTCTCATAGCAAAGAGAGAGAGAGGATCAGTCAGCTCACATACTGTATATATTGACCTGTGGAGAGTTAAGACTAATAAGGTCTTGCTACCAAGTAAGACATGGACCTAGGAATGGAGGCTTTATCCCACCTAAGCTCTACCAAGCCTCCAGAACCTAGAACAGAAGTTATTAAGCTTCTTAAAAAAAACAAAAAGTTTGTTTTCTCCATATCAGATATAAACCCTGGAGCCCATGTGTAGATAAGAAAATCTAAGTGACCCATATGCACTGTCCACAAACCTGCCAGCCAGTAAATCACACCATGGTAGTAAATTGGAGATTTCTCTATGGCAATGTGGATTTCTCCTTTGTTAAAATGTATCAACAATTGTTCTGTGTGTTAACACTAATTAAGTGTATTGATTTATTGTAGTACCTGACTGAATGCAATGAAATTTTATTCATGAAAGATGGATATATTTCAGAGCAAGGAACTCATGAAGACCTAATGAAACTCAAGGGTGATTATGCTGTTTTATTTGAGAGTATGCAGCAATCGGTGAGTACATCTGACCTAAATAAGTGACCTAAATGTTTCTACTGTAACATACAGAAATATGTGTTACATTGTTTTTATTGTTATTTATCTGTAGTCACCACAGTTCATTATGACCAAGAACGGGTTTTGGCTCAAGTCCTACTTAAACATTTTTGTTGTTATTGACAATATTCATTTACTTTCTTTGCATTGTGTGCTCTTTGATTTGAATGTCCATGAAAAAGCAGCTCAGACATGTTCAGAATGTGGATTACCACTGAATAAATCAAATACATTTTTCATCAGTAATGCATATTATTTCATTTCTTTCTCATTTATACCCCATACATTGATAACTACTTGTCCCCTCTTCTTTCAGTTATTGTTTTTTTATATTCCTTTCTGGACATTTTTTTATTACCTTTACAATCAGTATTTGTGTTCTTATAAAGTAAAATGTTTCAAATATAAAATAACCTTCATCCTCTTCTGCAAGCTTGCCCAGTTATCTTTAAAAGACAGATGCAGCAAAGCTCATTTTGCTATTCACTACAAGCAGAAAATACATGAAACTAGATTTAGAATATGATGCGATCATAAAGAATAAGATGTTACACCTTGCATTCACACATATATTCTTCTGTTTATTCTCTGTAACTCTGTCATAATAGTTTGTTACCCAAATCTTGGATGACACAGGGATCACTTGTACTGGGCTACGAAAGCTGCCATTGACTGTAGCATGTAGTGAGATTTAGGGGTCTATTCACGAAGCTGCCGAAGGATCTAGCCGTAGCTAGCTTCGGCCCCAGGACCCCTTCGGTTCAGTAGAACGTGGCCGAGCGGCTCAGTCGAGCCGAACGCATATGCCTCGGCTAGACCCCTTATTGTTTAATTAGTGCAGGTTGGGGAAATATAGCTTTTTAATCTGCACTGAGCTCAGGACGATTTTGCAGTCTTATGCTCAGCCACAGAATACAAGTAAATAGTCCAAAATCAAATCATGTGTTTCTTGTTATTTCACAGTATATAATAACATTCTTGTATTTGGTCAAAAATTTATAAAATCCTATTTTTCTTTCTATCTTAACAGAATGTCATTAAAAGCAATGTGCATTGTTCTATAGAAAAGCAGAATAACAATATACAAAGAAATACAGATACAGGTAATGATGCCAATTTAAATTGCATTATTTAATGTATTTATTACAGGTATTTATATAGCGCTGACAATTTACCCAGCCCTTTACATAGTGCACATTCACATCCGTCCATATCCTCAAGGAGCTTACAATCTAAGGTCCTTATCTCACATACATACTTACATACATACATACATACATACATACATGGAGTATTTAGACAGGAGCCAATTAACCTTCCAACATCTCTTTGGAGTGTGGGAGGAAACCAGAGTACCCAGACAAAAACCACGCAAGCACAGGGAGAACATGCAAACTCCTTGAACCAGTGACCCCCCCCCCCCATACTGCAAAGTAGAAGTGCCAACCACTACGCCACTGTGCTGCCCGTTTTGTTACAAAATTGTTCGTTTTAGACCCCAGTCACACTTGTGAATGAGAAAGGTTTGATGTTTCTCCCGAATTCTTTTGTGAGGCTTATGCAATCAGCTGTGGGTGGAAGGTACAATACGATGACAGCTGCCACCACGCTCTGCTGTTTGTAGACTATTCAGATGTAGTTGCACATGCTGTGATTACCTGTGGACATCTGCACCTGCATGCAAGTGGCAGAATTTTTTGTATTCCTTGCAGTGGGGCTACCCCCACACTGCAAGGGTTAATTGCTAGTTTTTGCCTATCTAACAAAGATAAGGTATACACAACTGAATGGCGGCTACCAGACTGGTCCCTGCAGCCTCGCTCCCCCTCCGGCGATGGAATGTCCCTCAGCGTCCTCATGTCCAATACACTGTATTCTTAGACTTAGTGGAGGAGGGGAAGCAGCAAGACTGCACCAAGCACTTAACCCTTGCAAGGCCAAGGGTATATACACTGCAAGGATAAGGACTAGACATGTGCGATTCGTTTAGTTCCGAAACGAAATTTCGGAAATTCGTGGATTCGGAGCATGCAAATTTCCGAAATGCACCATGTCCGAATTCATCGAAAAAGAATCCGAATCCGAAATTTCGGATTCAGAATTTCGGATTCAGTACGAATTTCGTCCTAATGGAAACGAAAATTAGAAATTTACGATAATGACTACAAAAAGAGGATTTCATAGCATGTGAAGATAAAAACAAAACATTACTTCATGTTCCTGTGCGTGCACCGTCAACGTTTAAACGGATAAAAAAAATTAAGAATAGGATTTTATGTCCCTTTTAATAGTGAAGACTAGAGCACAGCAACCAGAAATGTCAACTGTGCCAATTCTGACACGTGCGTGCGTACGAACATTCGTCCGTTTGCGCAAAACCCCAAATTTCGGAAATTCTTCCGAATTCCGAAATCCAAAACGAAACACATACAGGACCCGATTTTCGGAAATACGAAATAAACTAAATCTGAAACGAAACTAAATGAAACAAATTTTTTTGCGGCTGCACATGTCTAGTAAGCACTTCTTCTGCCTGGAGGTCTTCTTTAAGTAGTTCAGAGCTTGCAGTGACCATTTATGGAGACTATACAAGGTGGGTTGACATTCAGACTGAACGCCAGATAGATTAAACAAAAGTTAGCAACTGGTCTAAGTACTGTATCTGGGTGACATGAAAACTGTACCTGATGTTAAGTCCAACTTAACATGATATCAGGCTCTTCTAATCCCCTACACAGCAGAGCTCAGACTGCAATTCCCCCTTGAATATTCCCATTGTTGATTCAAACTGAATTCTATCAAGGTGCATAGATGACTGGAAAGTCAGAAGCAACCCATGCACCAGGTCTCTTGGGAGGGAACAAGTAAAGAAGATGGGCCTGCAGTTAGTATGTGGATTAGATGCTACATGTTTCTTGCAATCTTGTAATTCAAATGCATTGCAAAGCACCCCATTCATAACACAGTGAATGTAGCATCCACCAAACATTCACTGCTGGTGTATCTTCCTGGTGCATGTGGTTTAAATGTTTGGGGAATGTCACATTCACTGCTTTTATAAGTATGCCACTATATATACAGTATATACTTTTATTTTTTATTTTTTAAAGGCTTATTGTTTTTATATCACGCATACATAATCTGATTGTATATTACTATGCGTCTAGTCATGCGTTCTTTTCGTGATTGCTTATCTGTTTGACTAGACAAATTAACTCATTCCATAACGGGTTAACCCTTTCTTTTACAGATCTGAGAAAAAATGTGGAGGCCATAGGCAATGCAGAAATGAGACTTCTGAAGGTGGATGGAGTCAGGAAGGGACTCTACAGTGGAAATGAAGTACATAATACTGTGGCCTCAGCAGAGGGGGCTGGCACTAAGTCTCTTGATTGCTCAGAGAAAGAGAGGCCTTCAGGTATTCTCCAGGGAGATAAAAATGATGAAGAAAATAATGTTGATACAAAATTACCTTTAGAAGAAGCAGAACTAACTGACCAACATAACAATGAAGAGGAGAACCAGGGTATGTGAATATGATTTTAGATTTTAAGGTACTGTTGATGGACAAGTTTTTGTTCTGTTTTCTCTGTATCTTGTCTTAATCACCTGACAAGAACTAAATAGGAAGTTCGAGTTAAAAGTCCACAGAGCTTTATATATGGAGATGAAGCTGTGTTGACTTTTATACGTAAAACACTATATTCAAGATATATGGTCACATTGAGATGCTTGTATATGGATCCCTAATCAGTTTATAGCAAGAAATATAATTAGAATTTTGTAACCACCAAACAAAAAATGCAATTTAGATGCAATTATGCTCCAAGCTTTTGTTCTCTTTGGTAAATCATTTTATTTATGGTCATATTTTCTTCACAGGTCTTATGCAGGCAGAAGAGAAAGGTGATGGTTCTGTGCCTTGGGAGGTTTATGAAGTGTACATCAAGGCAGCTGGAGGAGTGTTGGTAATCATCATGAATGCCATGCTCTTTGTATTAACCACAGGAAGTGCAGCATTCAGTAACTGGTGGCTGAGTTATTGGATTAAACAAGGCAGTGGGGTAAGAGACATATTTGACAATGTATGTAAAAGAGATAAGGCCTGGCTCACACCTAGGTGTTTTTGAACAGTTGGAAAATCGCTTTCAAGCGCTCAACACCAGAAATCCCATGATTTTCAATGGCCCCCGTTCGCTCCTGAGCAGCAAAACGCCAGCAGAAAAACGCCAAACACCTGAAGGTACATGAGCTTCTTTGGGAGGTTAACAGCCCCATAGACTTCAATGAAAATGAACAAAAACACATGCACGAAGCATGTGGCACATTTTTTTGCACGTTCGAGCATTGTCCTTAATATTTCTTGAGCTGCCAGGTAAAAATGTGCAAAACACATAAACGTTAAAATAACCGCATAGCGAACACGCGTGTACAAACGCGCAAAAATGATGCCGCCTAGGTGTGAACCCGGCCTAAAGGATGGAGAAACATCTAGCATTATCCTTACCACATTCTTGTCTGTGGAGGATGGTGAAATAATACTCCATGTACATTGATTAAACCTTAGCCCATGGATTTATAACTATTTGTAAAATATGAATGTGGCACTTCTAGTACTGACAGTCCAGAATTAGCTGTTGTTGTTCGAAAACCTCCCTATTCTTTAGCAAAATACACCTAACAAATCATTGTCAGCTTTGTTTACATCTAGTGAATACATCAGCCTTTTGTTATTAATGATATTATTATCATTGAACATTTCTGAATTCAGTAATGATTTTATAGACAGAGTTGAAAATGTAAAAAAATAGCGAATGGTAGCCAAAAAATTGTGACTTTTTTTAAAATGCCTTTTTAAGTACATTTTCACTGACACAATTATAACTCCATGGCATTAAATGATATATCAAGTGTGAGCTATCACGTAGTGCACATAACTAAAATTCCGGAAATGTACATGGGCTTACATATTTCAATTTCATCCATAACAAATATATCTGTTCTGCGTTAAATCTCACACATGTATTAGTTCCTATAAAACGTTTTCACCTTCTTGTAAGTCTTCATGTTTTATTGTCATAAGGCTCCATTCACACGAGGCGATCTGGCATTCCTGCATCCAGGGACAGTCATCTATCCCAAACCGCCTGTAATCGTTCCATCTTTGATTACATACAGACTGCCACTGACTGACTTCAATGGCTACAGCGGTCGTGTTTGAACTGGGACATCTAGGATTCTCACTGCAGGAATCCATAGGTTCTTGTCGCCAGAACTCCCTGTGTGAATGGGGCCTAAAACATTAGCAGGGTTATTCACAAAAGGGTGAGGAGTTTGGAGAAGGCAGGAGAAGTGAACACTCTAGGACAACATAGTTGATTTGGAAACATTCTCTAATCCAGCTCACTTTCCAGTTCAGCTATGTTGCCCTAGATTGTTCACTTCTCCTGCCTTCTCCAAACTCTTCACCCTTTTGTGAATAACCCTGTTAATAACAGTGTATGTAATTGTGTTTTTTTAAACTGTTCAGCAGAAATGGACACTTTTATGAAAATAGATCCCTGTAAATGAAAATCTAGGGCCACCATTTGCATAAAATAGCACATGCAGACAAGGGGCTCCAGTAGGTTGAGATCGATTGTGCAGTTCTTCAAAATATTGTTTAATGTACTTGTAGGCCTTTTCTGGCACCCATGAAACCTGGCTTAAATATTCCCAAATGTTTTTCATTCCCACATCCTGGCTCGTTTCCATGACACTGCAGGCATTGAGCTCCTGCTCCCAGCATCACAGGAGCAAGCACACTTTTCTGTTCTAAAGTGCATGTGCAGAGCACTCTATTTTCCCTTATCTTGGCAACGCTGAGCTCAGATTTGGTATGGAATGATTTGTAACCTACTGGGGCCTCTTGTTTGCATGGGCCATTTTATCCAAAAGCTGAACTTAGCATTTAATGCAAGTTACAAGGTTTACCGTTGAAGGTCAGCACCACTCAGAAACAATTTCTGGTTAGTTCCTGACTAACTGGATCAGATACAGGCTTCTTATATCCCTGTACAACTCAATTGACTGGCTTTCCCCATAACTGTTTCAGTGACACCTTTGTTATGTGTAGAGGTATCAGACACATTTTTTCCCCCACTCATCTATGTAAAATAATACATTTTGACATATATCCTATATTTCTTTTCATTTAACCTTCTGTTATCCCTAGAACATTACAGTTACCACAGGCAATATAACATTGTCGAGGGGCAGCATGAAGGATAACCCTGACCTGCACTTCTATATTTACATCTATGCTCTGTCCATGGTGGCTGTTCTCCTGCTGAGATTTGTCCGAGGATATGTCTTTGTTAAGGTAAGGTTCATCTTCCTTCTGCCTTACCCAGTCAGTCAAACTGGGATTAGTTTCCCCTGAATTTAGTCATGTGTCACAGATGTCACTTGACATTACAACCACTGCTGCTACAACATGATGATATATTACATTCTGTGTTACAGACAATTGAGTTACTTTGTTCTAAAAACTGACTCGATGTAGAATTTATCCAGTTGGTCCATTATGTTCCATACTAACAATTTCCTTCAGCAGCCAAGCAGTGCGAAAGGGTCATAGACTCCTGGAGGTCATAAGAAAGAGAGTTTGGTAATTGCCTAAATCAATGTCTTACTGAAAAACATGAAATTATTGAGCTTAAAGTGAACAAAGCATTCTTCCTTAGGAAGAGGCCCACTTTATAGTAGGCACATAGTTTGTGTCCTCCCGTTACTCTAAGGAGAACTATGGGGAAAAGCCTTAACCCCATAATTCTCCTTTAAAGTGATATAAGGTCAAACTGTTTTTAAACTATTTCATATAGTTAAATTATTTACAATAGATGCTGCTTCTTGATGTTTAAAAGTTTTAGCTTCCTGCAGAATCAGCTTGTCCCCTTAACACTGGCCCTGATATCCTGCTTTAGGATGGCTCCTTTCTTTTGTAGGGTCCTATGAAGCCACCCTTGTGCATCCTGCTCGTTGCTCCGAAGTTGCTTTTGCTATTGGCATTTTGTCACTGGGCAATCTCTGATGATGTAACTTCTGCACATGTGCACAGGACTTACTTCGCCCTGGGGACCCAGATGCAGTGAGCTGGGGTGTACACTGCACATGTGCAGTAGGGAGTACACACTTTGAATGTCTCTTCTGCCCCAAAAAAACCTCAAAAGCATTTTTTTAAATGTTTTAAGTTTAGTTCCACTTTAAGCTCAGACCTTTTCAGATTTAATGAAAGCATATTCACTGATTTTCAGTAGCTATGGACATGTAGCCGCTCTTACTGTTATGCTGCAAGTTTGAAATTTTTTCTTATGGCTTACCAGCAACCATTAGACGATGTTTCTATTTACTCCCATATTTCCACTGGTAATGTATAATATTTTTTATTAGTACAAGGTTGCATCAACAGAAAGGCCTGGAAGCGTTTTACATGTTAAACACGCTTAAAAGACTATATAATTGAATATTGTATACATATTGTTCTTGTAGAGTTCACTGAAAGCTTCAACAAAGCTTCATGATCTTTTGTTTCAAAAAGTCCTCTGCAGCCCCATGAAGCTGTTTGATACAACTCCACTTGGACGTATCCTAAACCGTTTCACCAAGGATGTGGATGAGGGTAAGCGATTACTCAGTATGGAAAAAAATATAAACACTTATCAAAAACACTTTGTTTAACCCCTTCATGACTGAGCTAGTTTTCAGGTTCTGTTCATAAATGACTGACACATTTTTTACATTTTTGCTGTGTGATTCTTCCACAGCAGTAATATACTTTCTTACTAAATGTACCCACACATATTATATATAGTTTTTTAGAGGACAGATAGGGCTATATAATTATATCACATATGTGTACCTAGCCCCTCACTTAGTTTGAATAAAATAAAAAAAATGAGGAAAAAAACTAGAAGAAAACACTTTTTTCACAAGTTTTGATTATTATTTTTTTTTTTAGAATTTTTTTATATTAATTATAGTATAAAAAATATATTTATATATAATTTATATTTTCCTAATTTTGTTTTACACTTTATTTTAATTTTTTTACACTTTGTAAAAAAAATAAAAATAAAATAAAAAAACTTTTTTTTTTTCTTGTCAGTTTATATCAAGCAATCACTATGACAGCTTGATAAATTAACTTTTTTATTTTATTTTTGGCTATTAGGCTGATCCAAACTTAGGAACAGCTAATAATAACCTTAGAGACTGATCCTGACTTTAGTCAGATTCAGATCTCACTAAAAGCTCTTTGATCGTGCCTAGACGATCAGAAGTGATACATTTCACTCAAAAGATATACATTGTATCTCTTTGGTGAAATGTATCCAAACATCGGGCTCTCGAGCTGTCAAAACAAATAGCAGAGAGGTGAGGTGAGTCACTGCTGCCTCTCTGCTATTTTGAGCTGTCAAATACGGGATCGCAAATTGCGGTCCTCTATTTGCATGTAACGGCTTCATTCTTTCATTAATGAAAGGAAGAAGCTTTTACAAAAAGCTTAATTATTTCATTAATTAATGCCTCAATACTGAGACATTAATGAATGACTGTTAAATGCTGAGAATCAGCAAATACCGGCATTACAAAGCCTGATATAACTCGTCACGTACAGTGTACGTGGCCAGTCATATAGGCACAAAGTGACAGGACGTACACTGTACGTCTCCCGTCACAAAGGGGTTAATGTAAAATTTCACAAAAAAGGATATATTATGTGATTGTTGTCCAGTCCTTTTTGTAATTTAGGGGTCTATTCACAAAGTTGCCTAAGGATCTAGCCGTAGCTTCGGCCGATCCTTCGGCTAGCTTCGGCCCCAGGACCCTTTCGGTTCAGCAGAACCGAAGGGCTGCTGTACGGGCTATTCACTATAGCCCGTACAGCTCCCGAAGTTGGCCTAGCAGCTCAGTCGAGCCGAAGGCTTGACTGAGCCGAGGTGAAAGCTGAAGCTGGCCAAACGTCCGGCCATTGGTCGGCCAACAGCGTGCTACTGACAGCTGGGCGGAGCCAGCCGTCATCTCAAGGACTGGCTCCGGCCACTTGCAGAGACAGATTAGCGTCCCTGGTTATCATTACTCTCCCGGACGCTCTGGGAGTCTCTCGCTATTAGATAGCGGCTCCCGGCCGCCCCGGAGAGAAGAGCTTTCTCCCGGAAAGGTTTTCTCTGCTTGATCAAGCAGAGTAAACCTTTCCCTGCTCTGTTGTTTGTTTGTTTTTCTTCTGACATCGGAGCCGCCGGCGCCGTCAGTCAGAAAAAAATAAACAGCATAGGCATGCATAGCTACATTCCTATTGGCTATTTCACTTTGCAATAGCAGATGGGACCTGATGTTCTCCATCAGTTCCCCTTCTAGTGATTGACAGCAGCAGAGGGCGGGTGCAATAGCCAGCTTGCTATTGGATATTGCAAATTGAAATAGCCAATAGGAATCTAGCTATGCATTCCTATGCTGACGTTTTTTGTATTCTGATGGCAGCAGCTGTCAGAATAATAAAAAAAACTTGCAGATAGCAAAGAAGCTATTGCTCCCTCTGCTATCTGGCATCATTTCAATCGTTTTCTATTTTTTTAAACTGTTTTTCTATTCTGCTTGGGACCACTGCTGTTCGATATCTATGAGAATAGGCCGAACAGCAGCGGGGTATCCTGCCGGAGGTTCGGCTCAGCCGATCCAGATGTTGGATCAGCTGAGTCGAACTTCTTCTGCACTTCGGGTCGGCCGAACATGCTGACCCGACCCGAAACCAGCCGAAGCCACCCGATGTACGGCTGATTTCAGCCGTATATACGGCTGAAATCAGCCGTACAAGCCTGAAGTGAATAGCTGAACAGCGTTCGGCTCACTTCACTTCGGGTTGGTTATTTACTTGGCTGCCTAAGGCAGTTTTTTGAATTGACCCCTTAGTGCAGTGGTTCTCAACCTTTCTAGGGCCGGGACCCCTTGGTAACATTTGCCAAGTTGTGGTGACCCCCAACGGTAAAATTTAGGGTTGCAGCGACATCTGGCAGCGTGGCCGGAGGACTGACACTGCTGCGCTAGGAGAGGGCTGAGGAGGACTCTCACCTAGCACAGCAGAAATCACACAGCGACCAACAGGTTGAGAACCACTGCTGTAACAGCTAAAGTGGCAAACCATATAACACAAGCCGAGGGTGTCAGCTTTTATTATTAATAATAATGATGATAATCACTAGATGGGGACCTGATGGAGAACTGCAGGTCCCCCTCTGCTGATTGACAGCAGCAGTAGGCCGGTGCAATAGCTAGTTTGCTATTGCAAATTGAAATAGCCAATAGGAATGTAGCTATGCATTCCAATGCTGACGGCGGCCGGGGCTCCTTTGTCAGAAAAAAAACAACAAAAAACCGATCGCAGCGAAAGGTTTACTCTGCTTGATCGAGCAGATTAAACCTTTCCGGGAGAAAGTGTTTCTCTCCCGGGCGGCCGGGAGCCGCTATCTAATAGCGGGAGACTCCCGGCGACCCCTGGCAAATTGTCATTCGACCCCCGAAGGGGTCCCGACCCACAGGTTGAGAACCACTGCCTTAGTGTTAATAGCAATAGCAGGTCCCATATTTCCATTAAAGCTAATTTGTTTTGCTTTCACTTTCAATAGATGTTCTTGTAAATTTACAATAAAGATTTGCATAAGCAGTGAAGTGTACAAAAGCATTGTTATTTTAACGAAACAGACATAACTTTGTGTTCTCTATTGAAACATGCTCACATTAAAGTGTATGTAAACCCTAACAATGAACTTCTCCCCTTTGCTCTGTTAAATATGCCATTGGAAGCATTGTGTTATATCTGTCCAACAGATGCAAAAAAGTACCCATTGATCGTGTTAGAAATTCAGAGCTGCTGGGCAGGGCTGACACCAAGTTTTGCAATTTCAGTCAACAAAAAGGCATGTGTTTCTTACAAAAAAGGAAAGAGCACCCATTTTATCTGCTTTTGCGAGGTCTTTAAAGGGATGAAGCATAAGGAAATGTGCATGTATTGCAGAGATATACTGCATATGCTTTTCTTTATGCCCTGACACTTGTTTTAGACTCTGACATATACAGTGGAGTCACAAGGAGGGGGGGGGGGGGGGTGTGGGGGGGGGGGTTACTGGGTAGATGAGGGAACATAGTTTTAGCCAGAATTTATTCAGTTATAGGCATTGTCACCATAAACAGAGCAAAGTTCCTTGGTGTGCACACAAACAGAAGCATTTATGGTCCCTAAGTAGATTATAGATAGTCGCGCTGGGACAAGACACCATTTTGAAGGACACTTAAAATTAGCTTCTATTAATGATATATTGAGAATACCTTTAACATACAGCTTCAACATTGGTATCACATGTCCAATTGGATGTTTTCACCTATGGCTGCTTCTTATGCTATGATGTAAGACAATTTATTTAAGTTTGTGGCCAATTGAAATAAGTATTTTTTTTCTAATTGCAGAGAAAAAAAACCCAGACTCCGTTTCTTTGCTTCTGTGTTTCATATTGATGTATATTCTATGTTTCAGTTGATGTGCGACTTCCAAACCAAATGGAACAGCTTATTCAAAACATGATCCTTGTTTTCTTCTGCCTTGGTGTAATCAGCTCAGTATTTCCATTCTTTCTCTTATCTGTGGTCCCTCTAAGTCTGATCTTTTTCTTAGTAAACCGGGCTTCAAGGTAAGAAGGGATGCAGTGAATTTATGTGGCATTGATTAACGAAATTGAGCAGACAGCATATAATATTTGCTAAGTGATATAACTATATACAGGTGAAACTCGAATAATTAGAATATCGTGCAAACGTAATTGCAGTAAGTGCTGCAGAAGGGGCCCAAACCAAGTACTGAGTACATATGCATGCTTGTACTTTTCAGAGGTCCGATATTGTTCTTTGTACAATCCGTGTTTTATTGATTGCACGTAATATTCTACTTTTTTGAGGTTGTGGATTTGGGGTTCTTGGGGGTTTCATGAGCTGTAAGCCATAATCATCACAATTATGACAAATCACGGCTTGAATTATCTTGCTTTGCATGTAATGAGTCTATCTCATATATTAGTTTCACCTTTTAAGTTGCATTAGTGAAAAAAATGAACTTTGCACGATATTCTAATTATTTGAGTTTCACCTGTACATTATATGGCCATCACCCCTACCTGCAATATATCGCCAATGGTATGTGGACACCCCTCCAAGTTATTGAGATTAGGTTTTTCTGGTGAAGAGTACTGTTAATGCTACAAAACACAAAGACCTTATAGACAATTGTGGGCTCCCAATCTTGTGGTAACAGTTTGGGGAAGGCCCTTTTCTGTTCAAGTAAGACTGCGCCCGGTGCACAAAGCCAGGTCTATAAAGACAAGGTCTGACAAGTTTTGCATGCAGGAACACGAGTGGCCTGCACATTGCACTAACCTCAACCTTTTTTGAACACCTTTGGGTTGAACTGGGATTCAATTTGTTACATCAGTACCTGAAGTCACAAATACTCTTTTATCTGAATGGGTACAAATCCCCAAAGACTCACTTCATAATTTTGTGGACAGCCAGAAGTGTGGAGGCTGGGACCACAGTGGAACTACAAAGGTGGCCATCTTTATATTAATTTACATGGTTTAGGAATGGGATGTCCAACAAGCTCATATTGGTGTGATGGTAAAGTCTCCAGAAAGTTTTGGCGATATAGCGTAAATTTTTCTAGTCAATCTGCAGCTGTTATTATTGGTCAGTATTAGAGTGAAAAACCAAAAAGAGGAATGCCTTTAACTCAGTAGCAGAGTTGTTAAGGATAAACACTCAGCTACAAATAATCATACTAAGTGGTACCAAATACAACAATTTCCCTATATTATCAGATATATATTTTTTTTAAACACCTCCTACCACTATCTACCCCAATTTACGTAATTTATTATTGCCATAATCATCATCATAAATCATAATACATGTTCAAAATTAATGATGCCATAATTGATGATAGCAATTGAATTTATTATATAATGTTTGTTCTCTGCCATCCTCCTTTTAAATATCAAAGCACATCCTTTAAATATGCTTTAAATCCCCTTTATAGCTTGCATATATTATTTTAGAATTGCCTGTGTGGTATAGGCTATCAAAATGATCTGTTTGCTTAACACATTCCAGAATTATGTTTTATATTGTACTGATAGCATTTGTATCATATTCTATTGTTGTTTGTTAGCACAATGTTAAACAAATGACCTTAATAAACGTGATTGTATTTCATATAAGCACTGTTGTGTACACATGTATCTCCTTGTTAACCATGAATAAGTGTGCCAGTATTATCCTTTATTTTACAGAGTGTTAATTCGTGAACTGAAACGTTTGGATAATATAAGCCAGTCTCCATTTATATCTCATGTTACATCAACACTACAAGGAATAACAACAATTCAAGCCTTCAATAAAACAAGTGATTGCATTCTTAAGTAAGTAAAAAAATTCATATTAATTTATGTAATCCTCATTTTGCCTTTTTTATGTTTGTGGCATCTTGCTACTTCCTTTGTTCAGATACTACATAACGATCACCATCCTATCGATGACACAAAGATGCAAAGCTCACACTACTTAGTGGTGCTCCTATCATACAGAAAAAACATGTTCAGTGCATAAGCATAATTTCATTTTGTGCAGGGGACATATGTAGATATATTTTCAGGGACAGCACAGTAGCAACAGTTGTTGGGTGGACATTGGGTGGCTGTGGAAGGGTTTGACAGGCTCCTGCTGTCATTTTCTCTAGAATACACCTTTGCACTACCTAGCAGTTAATTGCTCAGCCTCAGGAAGAAAGCTATATAGGGGTGCTGAAGGCAGAGGAAAGGACGCATATGAGCGGGTGCTGGGAACAGATGAGGAGCAGTAAAGGTGCAAAGTTGGAAGCAGAGATAAGGAGAAGTACAGTGGATTCTGATGGAAAGGGGAACAACATATATATATATACACACAAGGGATGTGAGGTAGCTCCGCATTAAATTATTGCATGATTGATTTTGAGGAGCCCTATGAGGACCTTATATGAGCCCTTCTCAGTTCAGTTACATCCATGCTGTTACTGAATGAGAATTATTACATGAAAATGTACTTGTTGATTTGACAAGCAAATAATCATCTCTATTTGTACTGTTTGTGGCTGTAAATGCCTTTTCTGTTTTCTGAAGATAAGGGTGAATTAAATGCAGGGCTGACTATGGATTTTGAGAGGCTAGTGTTATCCATGATAATATAGGTCTTGAAATCTGGTTTTATGTTGCCAATTGGTTTTATTACAGTATGATATCCTCTACTTGTTTTTTCAGGTATCAGAAACTTCTGGATGTCAACCAATCTCCATACTTTCTCTTTAGTTGTGCTATACGATGGCTGGCAGTGCGCTTGGATCTGATTAGCCTTGCTATTATTACTGTAGCTGCATTATGCGTCGTGTTCATGCATGGAAAAATATCTCCAGCATATGCAGGTCTAGCTATGTCATATGCCGTACAGGTACTGTGCTGAAAGCTATGTTCTACCTCTTTCTGTGTCCAATGCATTCCAAAATATTGTATGAAAAGGCTAACATACATGATATAGTAAACCATTAAAACCAGATTTCTCTTTACTGAAGTCAAAATTGTAAGATGCATGTTTAGACTTTTTGCTATAGATGAATCCAGTTTACACATGTCTCTTATTACATAAGTCAACTTTTAATTTAGCTCTGTGTTCTGTTCTTTCAGCTTACAGGACTCTTCCAGTTTACTGTTCGTTTAGTTACAGAAACAGAAGCCAGATTTACTTCAGTCGAAAGAATTAATTACTATATCAAGGTAATATTATTAATATATCTGGATTTAGATAACAATAAAAAACAGGTGTAATAAATAGTATTGATTTTTAACATTAGTATACTATGGAATGCTGTATATAATACTTGACATTGCTTATAGGTGGCATTGCTTATAACTTTTGCCAATGAAAAGCATGTTACTTAGCAAGAAAACGTGTGAAAAACACACATTATACGCATTTTTCAGGCCCTCCATTTGAAGTCTGTTGGTCCCAAAATGCTGAACTCTGCCCCAAAAGAAGCTTGTAAGGTTTTTTTTTAGCTACATACATTTTGCTGCAAGTGACTGTCACAATTCTCGACTTACCTGTATCAATCGCAGGGGTCCTCGCACTCACAGCATGTTGGCAATTGGCACTTTTGTCAGTGACTTGTGTCCTATAACTTCCCCGCGTAAAAATTGTGAGGCCGCTTGCACATGTTTGAAGACATCCTTACATCAAAATGGCAGCACTGGAGTGCTGCCTGTTATATACAGGAATTGCATCCCTTCTGCCACACCTCCTGACATCACTTCCTGTTGGATCACTATGAGAGAGAGAGAGAGAGAGAGAGAGAGAGAGAGAGAGAGAGATCGATCGATCGATCGGTTGTTTCAGAGCTACTAGCCACAGTGTGTTCGAGTTGCTAGCCGTGTGATTCCGTTACCTGACCTTTGCGTCCTTTGACTATGATTATTGGATTTACCTTTTTGTACCACGTATTTGGAATCTTTGCCTGATTCTTCTCCTGAGTACGCTATCCCAAGGTGTGTGCCCCTGCTATTGGGCTCTACATATCCAATTACTGACCGACAGAATTCTCTTGGACATGGGCTATTGAGAACAATGGGATTCCTCCTATTGATCGATGTAGCGCTTAGGCATTCAAGCTACAACATGCTCAGGTGTAAATGGGGCCTTAGAGAGAGTTACTACTGTCATAATTATGATAATAGGTTACTATTATTATTCACACAAAGCAAAACACCGCTCACATTCCAATCACGGCTTCCGACTGCATCCACGTCCTGGGTGCAGTGCGTCTTTACCTCAAACAATCAAGATTTAAAACATGTGGCACTCCACAGGATGTTCTCCGGAAAATAGAAGTCTTTATTTAAGGTACAATAAACACACTGTCCATATCTTCCCTCCTAGATCCTCAACCTCTAACACATTTTACCATTAGGCTTACTCAATTAGACCTGTGATTAGGCCTAATGGTGAAACCCGTCAGAGGTTAAAGATCAAGGAGGGAAGATATTGACTTTGCGTGTATTGTTCCTTAAATAAAGTTTTTTTTTAAATTTTATGGACAAGATCCTGTGGAGTGCGGCATGTTTCGAATCTTGATTACTATTGTTATTGTTATCTTAGTTGCTTTGTATTTAACTGCATGCTGTTACATCATCATGACTAAACCTCGGACTTTTCATCATTGCCCTTTGTAAACATTTAAAGGAAAGGCCCACATTCTAAAGGGTGTTCCCTGTAAATGTTTAAACTGGGCTGGCAGAGTACAAATTCCACCATTACACTACTACTGAGAAGTGAATGATACATGACCCTTGTTTACGTAACTGTGATGTTATTGGTTTCCCAGGAAATAATCAGTTACGCAAGTGTATGAACTTTTAGTAATTCCTTTGTTTACTTTTCTAGGTGATACAATAATTCATTTACTTTTCTGTTTTAGTTATACATTTGCACAGCTTTTTCTTCTAATCTGGTTATGTCTGTAAAACATACTTTGACTCTTAGAGTGTTTGAAATCCTAATTATCCTTCCTGAAATGTGCCTTCCAGTCTGTATTTCTACAGAGCACTACCAAGAAACGAACTATTAATAAATTAAATAACTATGATTTATTACTTCCACTTGAACAGATCTCATTAAAAAAGAATTAAAGTATTGTTTTCCAGCTTGATTTCATACCCTACAGAATGAACACTGCATTCTGATTGGCTCTTTTGGGCATCACCTATATAAAATATTCTTCCAATTGATCTAAGATTCATAAGAATGATACCTTAAAAAGTTAAAACCAACCATTTCCAATACTTTTCCATCTAACAAAGTATATTCCAATAGTTTCACTTATTTATATAGCTGTTACAAGCTGTTTCTCCACTAATGTTTAGTTTATTTCGGTAAAAAAAAAAAATGTAAACATAATTCTGCTAAAAATCCATCTCCAGACAAACAAAAAAATGTACCCCCTAGACAAAATGGGCACTTAACCCTTGCAGTGCGGAGGTAGCCCCTCTGCAAGTGTTAAGTGCTTGTTTTGTCTAGGGGACACTATCAAAGCTGTTTTACTTACCTGATCCTTGGCCCTCTAGGCTCCCTCTCAGCTGCTATACTGGTCCCCGACATCCTCTTCTCCTCGTTGCTCCGGCTTAATGACCGCTGACATCATCACGTCTTATGCAGGTTCCATTGACCTGCATTAGATGTGAGAACACCAAAGGATAATCCAACATCCAGAGCAGTGGGGAGAAGAAGTGAGTGTTGTCCTCTCCCAGGAGTCGGGATCAGGTCAGTAAAAGCTTTAAGTCGCCTTACAAAAATTAGCCCTTATTCCTTGCAGTGCTGGGTAGCTTCACTGCATGTTTTTTCTTTGCACAAATATGGGCACAAATATTTTGAAAATGTCTTCATTTTGTCAGTTTCTTTACCAGTCTTTCTGTTTCCACCATTGTTTCCACTTACATTACAACTTTCTATGTAAGAATGTTATAAACTAGGCAGGAAAAATGTAGTGACTAAATAGGGTGAATTGTAGTGAAATGATAAAGCAGTTTTAGGTGCCCTAAATAAACATACTCTACCTCTCTATATTCTACCGCTCAGCATTATGAGAGTAGAATTTAATTTATCTATCGCTATTTTCATTTCTTTATTTTGCTTGCTGAAACATGCAATTCTCAAAAGCTGGAATCGAGAATGCAGGATTCATTAAAGTGACATTAAACCCTCAGATTTTTTAACATAAAACAATACTGTATCTGTTCTAATGCTGGGCAGAACTTCTGTTTTGCAGCAGACTGCCTTGTCTCTGAAATGGATACATGGTGCCTGTGTGCAGGTTCACAACCTGAGCCAGCACTACAGGAAGAGGCACTCAGCTGCAAAGGGAAGTTCTCCCCAAGCATGAGAAGACATGAGGATTTAAAAGGAAGAGCAGCAAAGAGAAGGGAAACTACCATTGATTACAGTAAGGTACACATTACAGTATTGTTTTATGTTAAAAAATCTGAGCGTTTAATGTCACTTTAAGCAAGTGTTATTTTAACATCACAGACTTTATTTTATCTATTGCTGTGATAAAATAAAGTTTCGGGTGTTATTTTAACACTTTTGCAGTGCATTTTGGCAGCAGAAGGGGTGGAGAAGATGCCTAGATGACTGTTTGACTTTCACCACCCAAAAGGATTCCACATATAAGGAAGGAATATATTCCATATTCACCACATGCATACTAATTTAAAATGTAGTAGAGAAGAAATCATATAGAAATAACAATAATATTTTTCTGAATGGAAAGAATATATGAAAAATTAGATTTTTTTAGATCTCCATATGTTGATAATCAGACAGGGAGGGCAAGCAATTCTCCTGACCACCTAAAGCCTGTTTTCATATTAAATTTGTTGTATGGAACAATCCACTTTCTCTACAACCCACTGATGTGTGTCCAGTATCATTTGATTTTTTGTGTCAGGTGAGATTTGTCACTAACCTCTAACTGTAAAAAAAAATCATCCACATTTGTAGAAGAGTAAAAAGTGTTAAAAAAATGACTACATGCCACCTTCTTCTTCTGTATGCAAATTAAACCATGTGAAAATAAAGAAAAAAGGTTCCATTTCTATTTACCTCACGTCATCTCAGTGCAACAAGCATCAGATAACACCTGAAATCTGTCATAACGCCACCCTGAAGGAGGTGATAGAGCTACGTCTTAATAACGAGTGATAAAAGGACTTTTTCCTATTGTGAATTGCATTTCAAGCATATTGTATCACTCCAGTTGTTAAAATAACGTCTGAATAGTTAAACAAAAACCATTTGAATAGTTAATTTACTATTTCTTAAAAATAAGAAGCGTTATTGAGTTTTGTGAATTGACTACCTTTACACAGCAACTATATAGCAAGCGATATCAATGAAATAACAGCCAAAATGAAGAAAATGAGCTTTGTGAATTGACCCCATAGAGTGAAGACAATTTAGTTGAAAAATGTCATAATTTATAAAGTCACTCTTTACTTTGAGTGTAGAGGGGCTCAAGTGTACAAGCTTTGATACCCTGGATGACCTAGCTAAAATTAGTGACTGGTTGAAAGTCTGATCTATTATTAGTAAGTTGACATTTACATTTGTGTTTATCTAGTTTAGACCTATAAGTAACTGGGTATTAAAAGTGGCATCACAATGAAAGAACAAAGAAGTGTTAAGGCAAGAAAATCTTATTTTTCTATTTTAACAGGTTAGCAGTTAGTAGAGAACATGCACACACTACAGCATTGTAAATAGTTCTAAAATTCATATCTACATTGTTAGTTAAAACCGTACATTTGTTCTTCAGGCTACATTGTTGATAGTAACAACTTATACTTGGGCATACCTAAACTAAGAGGGTTACAGGACACACATTTGCACCATTGTAAAATTCTGGTTTGGGCTTAACTGTGGCCACTATTGAACCTTTATCTACAGTAAATTCTTACCTAATGTACACATGGAGGTTAACATATTTATCATAATAAAATCCACCAGTCCCTGTATAAGGATTCACATCCTTCAGCTTTGTGCAGGCTTACAAGGCACACCTTTTGTGATAGGTACATCATAGATATCTTGCACTGGGGCCCCCGTTAGGTTGTACATCCTACTGACTATATAATGTGCCAAAGTATTCATCTGGAGAATAACGTAAACTCCTATAATTTACTTCTTGTTTACTTCCATCAAACATTAATAGATACAATCAACCAAATGGAAAATAGTAGAATAGAATCTATATGTATGTCAATTTGACCTTATCAAGGCTTTCACCTATAATGCAATCATCCTCTTCTAGTGACTGCTTATCACATCTAATTTTTACTCATTATTCTTCCAGAATCTGGAGCCAGAAGAAACCTGCCTTGCACCAAAAAAGTCAACTCCCAAAGAATGGCCTCAAGAAGGTGAAATAAAGTTTGAGAATGTGGAAATGCGTTATCGTGACAACCTACCATTAGTGTTGAAGAATATATCATTCAGTATTAAACCACAGGAGAAAATTGGAATCGTGGGGAGAACGGGATCAGGTTTGTACATACAAGTGCACATCACATTATTTATTTTATTATAGCTGTCTCAAACTACCATCCTGTGTGCCAATTGCGGCCCGCGAACCGCAACTATGTGGCTCACAGCCAGCTGACAAGTCAGGCACAGACCGCGTACCTGACTTGCGGGAGCAGCTTCACGATCTGCAGCTCTGTCGGATGCAGACCGCATAGCTGTACATGCAGCGGCTGTCACCTGATCATTAACTTGAATGGGTGACAGTTGCTGCTTGGAAACGCCAGATTAGGGATTCCTGATGTAGGAAAATGCAAGTTGCTGACACAGGAATCCCTAATCACACCTAAACTTACAGGTGTGAATGGGGCCTTATTGTGTGTATATTATTGTTTGCAATTCTGGTTGTGCGGGGTTGTCCATATTTCTGTTTTTGCTTATCCCTTTGTGTGCCTATTTCTGTGTGTGTGTGTGTGTGTGTGTGTGTGTGTGTAACATATACTGACACTGCACAATAATACACACATATACACACTGATATGACACACACAAAAAACATTATTATACATACCAACATCAGTCATAGAAATCCTGACAATACACACACACAAACCATCACAACAATATACTGACATTGCGGACAAGGAACCATCACAAACACGTATACTAACATTATAAATACACGCAGACATTAACACTTGTACCGTGTATAGTTCAATTTTATTTTGAAATATGACATTTGGCAAGTGGCCCCCCATGTTTTCATGTCTAATATTGTACAGCATTTAACTACCCAAACACTTAAAAGTTTGTTCAGTTACTTATTAATTCTGCTCTACCATTATATCAACTCAACTACACTAACGAGTACCGCACAAAGATTTAAAAGCTGGGGTCCCTGGTCCCATTCACCTCTTACAGCTACTTCCCCTGCAGACCAGTGAACCAGGAATTGTTATCTCAGTTCTTCTGGCATGATGTGGACGATTTCTTAAGGGACCGTAATATACAGGGGTACGGGTACTCCTAGAATGAGATCCTAATAGGTTGGACTTGATGGACTAATGTCTTTATTCAACCTCAAATACTATGTAACTATGTAACTATGATGTGAACACTTCCTAATTGATATGCTTCAACTACATTCCATGTACAGATCTTCATGTAACCAGTAATGAAAGAAAAGAGAATGTAAATTGTTTATTTTATCTGTTTGCATTTGTAATGTGTTGTGGTACATAAGACAACTAAAATGTATCTACATTTTTTTTTCCAATTTTACATTTATAGAAGAGGACCTTTCTTATCATTCCAAAAACTAGCTGTGTTATACTCTACATCAAAGGTGCGTTTATGATCTCAAAAAGGTCTAGGGGACCATATATAGTGGTTTATTTACTAAAAGCAAATAAGCTGTTCACTTTGTAAGGGAATTTGCACTTTGCAAAGGAATTTGCTTAGTTTAGTTGATGAGGTAAAGATCTACTGACATCCATCATCCAATCATGTGCAAGCAAAATGCTGTTTTTTTAAAAATTTGCCTTGCTCGTAATTGAATATTCTTTGAATTTTCATCACATTCACTGAGCTAAGGGAAAATTTCCCTGCAAAGTGCAAATTTCCTTGCAAAGTAAACAGCCTATTTGCCCTTAGTAAATCAACTCCATTGAGTTCAACCTGTCTTTAAACTTAGGGGTCTATTCACTAAGCAGCCAAAGGATCGGCTGATCCTTCTGCTAGCTTTGGCCCCAGGACCCCTTAAAGGGCTGCTGTACGGACTATTCACTATAGCCCACGGCTGGCTCTGGCCACTTGCAGAGACAAATCAGCGTCCCCTGGTTACTGGCTATTGCAAATTGAAATAGCCAATAGGAATTTAGCTATGCATTCCTATGGCGAAATTTTGTTTTTCTTTCTTTGGTGGCAGCAGAACCGCGGCCAATAGAAAACAGTTGGGCGGAGCCAGCTGTCACTGCTAGCTCTGCACAATCGTTTTCTATTTCTTTTTTTCTACTTTTTAAACTATTTTTCTGTTTTGCTCGGTCCCACAGAGGGACCAAGCAGAACAGCTCAGCGGCATTCGGCTATTCACTCACTGCTGTTCGGCATCTATAAGAATAGCCCGAACAGCAGTGAGTAGTCTGCCGGAGGTTCGGCTCAGCCGATCCAGATGTTGGATCGGCTGAGTCGAACTCCTTCTGCACTTCGGGCGGCCGAACATGCCGAGCATGTTCGGCCAACCGGAAGCCACGCAAAGCCACCCGATGTACGGCTGATTTCAGCCAATATACGGCTGAAATCAGCCGTACAAGCCTGAAGTAAATAACTGAACAGCGTTCGGCTCACTTCGTTTCAGGTCGGTCGTTCACTCGGCTGCCTATGGCAGCTTAGTGAATAGGCCCCTTAGATAAATGCTAACATATAATCATTACATCTATTTGGTCTTAAGTGGTTAAAATATCCTGAGATGTTTTCATTTGTTCTTTCACACAAACCCCACTGATAATTCAGTTGTTGTAAATGGAGAATCTATAGATTTATGTTTCAATTACAGGTCCCCACCCCAGTACATGGAATTGGGATGTTTCGCTGTATACTTTTCAGAATTTCTGAATGGAATTATTTAAAGCTTAAATATTTTACACTATTGTATTTCATCCTTCAACAGGCAAATCATCCCTGGCAATTACACTTTTTAGACTAGTTGAACTGTCTGGAGGTTCAGTCAGTATTGACAACATCTGCATACATTCAATTGGATTAAAAGACCTGAGAAAAAAGCTTTCTATTATTCCCCAAGAGCCTGTTTTGTTTGTTGGAAGCATCAGGTGAGTTAAAAAAAAAAGCTCACAATGGTCATCATATAATCTGCTACAGTTTTAAATACACAGATACAAAATCACGATATGCTCTCTTAGGGGTGATAGACTTATGAAGCCTATAAAACATGGGATTGTGAACTGTTAACATTTTGGATAGAGTGGGGAAGGTTTAAAACAGCGGTTCTCAACCTGGGGGTCGCGACCCCATCGGGGGTCGAATGACGATTTGCCGGGGGTCGCCTAGAGGCTCCCGGCCACCCAAGAGAGAAGCGCTTTCTCTGCTCTTTTTTTTCCCCTGACATCGGGCCCTCAGTCAGTTAGAAAAAAACAAAAACAAACCACTATAGGAATGCATAGCTAGATCCTATTGGCTATTTCACTTTGCACTAGCCAATAGCAAACTAGCTATTGCACCCGCTCACTGCTGCTGTCAATCAGCAGAGGGGGACCTGTAGTTCTCCATCAGGTCCCCACCTAGTGATTGACAGCAGCAGAGGGCGGGTGCAATAGCTAGTTTGCTATTGGCTAGTGCAAAGTGAAATAGCTAATAGGAATCTAGCTATGCATTCCTATGGTGTTTTTTTTTTTTCATTATTCTGACTGACTGCGGCCCGATGTCAGAAAAAACAAACAGAGCAGTATGTACGCACAGTGAGAGGGGATAGCTGTCTTCCCCTCTCACCTGTCACAGGACAGGTGAGAACTCCTGTATTGGAGGTGACAGGGTCAATAAAGAGAACCTGTCACCTCTAATTGCTATTAACCATGGGGCTTGTTAGCTCTGTGTGATAGCAATAAAGTTAAGTGGAAAAAAAATAGATTAAAAAATTATTAAAGAAATAAAAATGTAAAAAAAAAAAGAAATAATTAAATAAAAAGAATAAAAAGGTGATTAAAAAGTAAGACATAATAAGAAACAAATATTAAAAAAATAAGAAAATTATAAAAAACAATAAGATAAAAACATTATTAAAAATAAAAAAGTAAACGATACGATAAATAAAAATTTTAAAAAGTAAAAAAATAAAACAATACAAAAAAATAAAAATAAAACTAACCCTGCCATCTGGTTACCATTCTCCATTGATGGAGGTTGGGGGGGTTAGCGGGGAGGGGGGCGCATTGCGGAACTTGGCCCTGGAGCAGCAGGGAGAGTAAATCTGGCCCTGGGCGTTCATAACGCAGTTATATCCACAGTGGAGCCACCAAAAAGATTGTGCTTTCTACTCTCGTAACTACGCAGGTAATGTCAGGAGGCAGCTGCTGTTGTTCTCGGAAAGGTATTTCAGCTTCAAAAAGCAAGTAGAACAGTGGTTCTCTAGCTGTGGGTCGCTGTGTGATTTCTGCTGTGCTAGGTGAGAGTCCTGCTCAGCCCTCTCCTAGCGCAGCAGTGTCAGTTCTCCCGCCACACCGCCAGATGTCGCTGCAGCAGCCCCGTCATCCCTAAATTTTACCGTTGGTGGTCACCACAACTTGGCAAATGTTACCAAGGGGTCCCGGCCCTAGAAAGGTTGAGAACCACTGGTTTAGAACCTTTGTCTAGTTTACATTGTTGTCTGTGTCCCTTTTTGGAAGCTTCAACCTCACTAATTGGTTTAGTGACCGTGGTCATCAGGACAAAAAGTGAAATGCTATTTAAAGCATTAAAATAGCATTTTTGCTTTGCTTTGAGAAAGCTCAAACAGGAGTGAAACATGACAGGAACTTAGTTGATATTGGGCTGTGCAACGTTTGTTTAAAATGCCAGTTGGACTGTCTATACACCTTACTAGATAACATCCATGTGAGTCTGGATACTATTTTCCCCTACACAGTGGATTTTGTGTGGAAGCTTTTTTACCCACGGAACTTTGGCATATGAATATGGTGAGACCGTTCCATTCACATTTGTTACGCTCATATTAAATATTAACATATTGGACAACGTGCAAGATGTTTGTATAACCAGTTATATACAATTGTCGGCTGTACACAGAGGTACAACAGGGGACGTGGTGGATTCCATCCCCCAGGACGTACTGTTTTACATCCAATACAGATGCAGTGTCTATATATTCCATACAGTCATCTTTACTTACTTGACACATAAACAGCGTTATACAGTCTCATATGGACACCTTTGGAGCGCCCCCATGATAGACTACCCATGAGAATTGGGATATACTCACATTTGCTGCAATTTTTCTGATGGATTTATATACCTTGATACCATTGCCTGTTGGCATTGTCATTCATCTACGAAATACTACATTATATCTATAATCTACCAATGCCATTTTAATATTTGATATGTTGCAAAGCCCGTTTCTTTCTTGCCCCTTTTCTATGGGATTTTGATGGTTTTTAAAGGGGATATACGATTCGTTTTGATATCTATGTGGTTTTCTTTATTTATTTTGTTCAATAAATAACTTGTTATTTTTCTATATATTTTGTGTTGAGATAAGAGGGTGGCTTTACCACTATTCTAAGGGGCATATATCTATTCTAACTATCCAAATGTTATGGCTGTCACTGGCATAGAATAAAAGGGATCTCTTCCAATGGGGGCACCAGTACTGATGACAACTGTCTTGGGATTTTCTTTAACTTTGGGGATATTACCATTCACTTCCTGTTGTGTTCTGGCTCTTCCATTATTTAAAAAGCAAAATATGAAAGAGCAAACATCAAAGTTAATACATACAGAATGTAGGCGCGTGTGTCCAATCCCACCATTGACTGTTATATACCGTCAATATATATCAATCATTACTTTCTGCAGTCTAAAGTCAGTGGTAGTATGGCCTTTGAATTCATTGGGTCTTAGTATAAACAGCTCTGCCAATTATTAATACCACGTGGTGTTTTGAACATATACCAAAATAATAAATGCCACATTATAGGTCGAATTTGGACCCAATGAATCAGTACACAGATGAAGAAATATGGAAAGCTTTAGAAAAAACCCACATGAAACAACACGTATGTATAACTCACTGTTACCTACAGGAATTTTTTTTCTGCTTGTGCATATACCTGAAGGTACCAACACACATCCATGCATGTCCATAAAATCTGATTCCTGCTGCCTGACTTGTACGCAAATATTGTTTGGATTGTAGACCTTCAATGAAGAGCAATTACCTTTGTTCACTGAAACTACACATAATCGACTTAGCACTTACGGGAGAATTCCTTGTTCTAATACTCTTAAATAGCTATGATGCCTTGGTCACTAAGTATGTACTGCCAATGTAATGTCCCTTCTAATAGAAAATGTAAAGCTTTGAATGCCTTCCCTAGGATAGTGAAGGTTAAATGCTTGATTAGTTTAGGGGAGGAGGTGTATTTGCTCTATTCCTCGCTTCTGCAGGTTTCTTCTCCTCCAATTCTGGGATGGATGACATGTCCCCGAAAGCCATTTCTCTTTGCTGTTGTGCGGCCGCCTCCTTCCTGATCACATCAGGGTTCCTGCATTGTATGTGAGGAAGTGGGCGGCCTGCCCATACTCCAGGGATGGAGCAAATCTTAGAAGAGCCTGGGTAAGTGGAGGAGCAAGGAATAAGATAAGTATTCCTCTACTTTACTCCCTCCCTCGATAATAAACAAGAGCTTTCTATTCTGGTGTGGGTACCCAAAATGTATTTTTAAAGGTTGCCAATAGTTCAGCTTTAATAGTTGAAAGGGCATCTGAAGTCAAAATTCGCTTTTTATTTAAAGGAGACTAAACTAGACCCCCTGTTATTTCAGAATTTAAGATTCATGCATATCTTCAGTTTCACCCACCCTGCAGCTTTTATTACTTTGCTTGGTGTGAGGCACACAATGATATTTAAAAGAAAGCAATAATGGTTTGGAGACTATATGGCAGTTTTTTTATTATTATTATTTTTTTTTTATCATGTTCATATTTTGTTATTCTAAATGTAGCGCCTCATAATTGATTTAAACTACCAGCTTTCTTCACCTGTCTTCAATACTGCCCTTAACAACAATTACAGAAATATATTCCCATTAAGCAGTGAAGAGACATGAAACAAAAATATAAATCCAATATTAATTTGGGTATTTAATGATCATTCAAAATGTGCATAGAAACAGCTCTCCCTAGTGGTAGGACTTCAGCTTTTCCCAAGATGAAGAACCCAGTGGGCTAATTTACTAAAGTAGTAACAATTATTTTGTCCTTAAAATGTGTTTAGTCCAATTATTCCATACTGTCCACATTAGAGATTTTGATTCAATACACTACATATATCTGAAACCCTTAGTTTCCTCCTTGAATCTTCATATTTCTAAACAAGAAAGTTTATTGTAGCAATAAACACGGAGCTTGCAATAAGGGCTAGTTCACGCCAAGCGCGTTCCAGGAGCAGAGCAGTTACAGAACGGATCAAAACTGCGTCCAATGTATTCCAATGGTATTTTGGGCTCTAGTTCACACCGCAGCGTTCAGTTCCAGAGTATGTAAAAAAAACTGCAGCAAGCCCTTTTTTACCTGCTCTGGAACGCATGCAAATGCATCAAAAACACATGTGAACGCACTGAAAGCCCATTTTAAACTTAACAAAAAATAATATATATTTTTTAACCAAAAAACTACCCGGAATGCATCAAAAACGCGGCAAAAAACGCGGTATAACACACCGCACTGCATGTGTAGAAACTCATGCAGATCTGGTCTGCATTTGGTGTGAACAAGCCCTAAGGGTACAACAATAAAAGACATTTGACAACGGTATGCCAGAATATCATATGGAAGAAATGAAGAAAACTGGAAATTAATGTGTAGAAATAATCCCATCAGATTCTCTGAGGTATAGAAGAAACCAACAGATGGCGTAACTGTCAGAATGTTTATACTGCTCTGATATACAGTTCTATTTATGGAAACAATTAAAAATCTATAATTAAGGAGATTCCCAATGTATTTCCATAAATCAAAATTTACGCGAGTTCTTTCATTTGCGCTGACTTCGAAGACAAGAGGAATACCAAAGTATAAAAAATATAGATATTTATTTATCAAAAATCAGTGCAGAATAAAGTAAAATATAATTGGTGACAAACAAAGAATATGGATCAGATAATATCAATCAATTTGATAACACAGGTAATGCATAAAAATGTAACCATTGTATATTGTCCCCAAAAAATATAAATGTAACCAGTATAACACGACTTTTTTAATGTAATGGGTATCTTCTCAGTATCACACAGAATAAGAAAACAAAAGGCTCAGAATTGACATGTGACTTCTCCCAGCACAAATATTCACAAACTCTAACTTTCACAGAGCATGGGCGATATTTATCCCATCATGCACAGGGCTGGCAATAAGCCCAGACCAGTCAAAGTAGAGAAAAATTACCACCAGTTTAATTCAATATATATATCAGGCTAGACCATTGACTAGAAACTAAAATCAGTTTCCTGGAGATTATACAAATGTATAAAACAAACGTATATAATTATCTCACCAGATTGAAAGACACAATTTTTACTGCAGTTAAAAATTATCTCAGATCAATCTAGATCCTACAAGAACTCAATGGTTTACCCGAATATATATATATATGTGGCTGATGAATTGCCTAATATACAGATAGAAAGTATACTTTACCAGCAATTTAAACTTTGTTGTTTTGGAAGAAGTCAGCAGTCAATGCTCAGCAACCAGGGATAGTCAGGTTCTCTTTAGTTCAGTTTCTTTGGACAGCCGTCCTCAGCTTCTGACCTATACCCTTGGAATGTATTTGCTTACTGCCTTGTCTTGTTCGACTCTCTCTGATGATGGTATTCGAATCTTCCCCTCTCTATATCCCCCCCTGCGGTGTGGGCTTGGTTTGATCTATCACGTGATTACTGACGTGAAACATGATATCAAATACCCTTTTTTTTGTCACAGACCTTTCCCTCACAATCACCATCAGTGGCACTATTGTTGTATGTAAAAATTGGGAGAATTTCATTTAATTTCACTCATTTCTAAAGATAAGGCAGTGATATGACCTTTGATCTCTACCCTCGGACAAAACCATGAATATAAAATTTTGACAATACTTAATCACACCATGCCAGACTTCCAGTCTGCTCTTCAATTTACAACTCGGAAAACAGTCTAACAAGCAATTAGCAATCCTCCTTAAATTCCTTGAAAGTGAGGTACTTAATTTAGAGTTAGACCCAGAAGTTTTCATACATATAAGAAAAGAATATACATTGGCATGTACCACCTAATTCCTTGCACTTAAATATAAAAACCCCATTATTAGTAATACACACTAATATATTTCAATGGGTACACTCAAATATATAATGAATATAGTTTGGAGATATAAAAGTACATGTATAACATTTTACTTAAAAATCAATCAATTAAGTAGATATATAGATGCTACATATAATATAATAATATAATAACATTGTTACTAATATTAACCCCACACAGGCTGATGGCTGACGCACAGGCTGACGCATATCTTTAACTGATATGCGTCTGAGACCCCCACCATTTACGATCTGAAGAATGTTTATACTAACATTCCTAATTTCTCTGTGAAGGTCTCTGTACAAGAAAAGAATGAACTTATTGTCACCTTACAGCACATAGACAAAATGGCTACTAGTATGCCCATAGACACCTCTGTAGAATGACATGTTTAGGCCTATGAAATCGATTCCTTTCGGCCCACTAGTTCTGACATAACTCTCATCCTCCAAAAATTTGACATGCCACTTTTTGGTGGGCTGCCCTTATATTTATTCTGGAAATGTAGACAATTATTGAAGAAATGTTGGTCATCTATTTTCAGTTTGCGTTATTATAGTTAAAGGATTTTCTCTAAACCGTTATTTTTGCCTTGAAAGTTAGAAGAATGTGCTAGGCTATCTAGTTAAAGTGTCCCACTTATTCCTTATGGCAGTTTAGTAAGGTTTTGGAGTCTCATGTGAAATTATTTTATGTTATTATGTCTTATAGGTAGCTCAGCTACAGGGACAGCTACATTTCCAAGTAGCAGAAAATGGGAGTAACTTCTCAGTCGGTGAGCGACAGCTGCTGTGCATGACACGGGCTTTACTCAGGAAAAGTAAGGTATGTGGACAGTTTTACAATTTACTGCTTTTTAATTGCTATAATAATTGCATGTGAATACAGTGAAGTAAATACTCCAATCCCTGCCTTGTCTGCTTCTGACACACGCAGTGGATCCACTAGCCTTTATTTAATAGCAAATACTAATGTCTAATAGAGCACATAAACTAGTCAGGTCTCTGTTTTTGTTAGTCCAGATGAAGCAAACCAGTAAAATATATTATTTCTCATTGGTTGTTAATAATTATTTCACTGTTCAGTGAGCCCATAGTGTAATTTCAAGAGCATTTAATAGGTCACAATATGCACCTTTTGTTGGAAAACCACCACTGCCTGATAGTAGCTTAAAGAAGGACAAGTGAGCAGGAATAGCAAAGAACAATAGTAATGTAAGAATGGATGTGGAAGCTTGTTATTGGGTGAAACGCATCAACAGACCTTGGACTGGACCCTTATGGCATGGATGAGCTTTAATAAAGTCTTAACTTTCCACAGCGTTTCCTGCTGTGTTGCCAGATTTCCTTTGACTATAATAATGGACATGTTGAATACTTCTAGCATCCAGTTGTCTTCTGTGCAGTCTAGTACAGTTATCACTTTTGAATTGGATTGCTTTTATCTTTACTAATGTCATACAATGCACTTCTAAGAAATAATGTTTTCAAGGATTAGGTCTTACAAGCTTCCTATAAAGGAAGTTGGGCACATATATCACTGTGAAAGAATATAGCATTAGAAGATAATGAGGAGTTCTTTGATATGAAATCACAAAGTGACAGATTAGTCATTTCATATTGTCATATAACTTAAAGCTGAACTCCGAGCAAAAACACTTTCACTTGAAAATACACTTTAAAAGCCAACAAAGGATATAAATCCATTTTGTGTGCACCAAATGCCTTTGAAAATCCAAATATTACCATGTAAAAATAGCAGTGACTTTATAACTGTATTGCACATAGCCTGTACAGTGAGTGAGCAGAACTATGAGAGGGACCCAGCAGACCCACCTATTACAGACAACCTGCAAAAGCTACAGGAAGGGCAGATACAAGACCTGTCACCCTGCACAAGCAAAAGAGCAGCAGTGACTGGTCTTTATTGCAGGAAGGTCCTGCACAGAGGCAAATCACACTGGATTACTGCACAGATCGGGAAGAAGCACACAAAGATTCAAGTGATAATATATATGCCTCTTATATTTAGTTAAGATTTGCTTATCTCGGGGTTCAACACTGAGGACCCATTCACATTATGGTGGTAAAGTGTGTTTTTCTGCTAAGGCACATAGAAAACAATAGTTTTTTTGTTTTATTATTTACAACTCGGGTGTAATGGGAGGTGCACTGCGGAAAAATTTAGCATGTCTGGATGCCATTGCAGCCACCACCTGGCAGAACAGCACACTGATGCGAGGGGACTTGAATGGAGTATGCACATTGTACACTAATAATAAAGTAAAAAAGCAAAAATGTAAACAGTGATAGCTTCGGCAGTGTGCAATACACCACACAGCTGCCACAATGCTCTGGCCCATCCACTGAAACAGAACATTCAAAACAGAGCGTTTTATCGGACAGGCTAGAGTGAACAGGCCCTAAAATGTGTGTTGTAAGAAGGACATTTTATTTAGTGCCAAAATAACCAGACATAAATTATGTTGCCATTAAATGTTTAAAGCAGAACAGTTCTTGTTTGACATAAAATATGCCTATATACTGTACATTTAGCAACCTATTGGTTGTCATTCAATTAAAAAGGTTCTGGTCTTTTTGTCTTGAATCCAGTGTCTACATTGTCATGTTATAGTATGTTTAGTTTTACCTGATATATGTTTTTTTTAATACATTAGATATTACTGTTAGATGAAGCTACAGCAGCAATTGATAATGAAACGGATGTCCTGATTCAAAAAACAATCAGCGATGCATTTTGTGAATGCACCGTGCTCATTATAGCACATCGACTTAATACTGTGTTCCATTGTGACAGAATCATGGTGATGGACCATGGAGAAGTAAGTAAAGAAAATTATTTCACAGTGGTCCATGTTGGATTGACCCTGGGACGAATATCTAGCAATGTTCTTAATGTTTTTTGGGATGTACAAATATACATTTTTCAAAAACAAATACTCTTTTTTTCTGGGTAGAAACTATAAGTAAATTTCACAATTAATAGTAATATAGCCAACACCTAATATTTGCATAAATGTTTAAATTTTTCTTCGTATTATTATTATTGTTTGAACGCCACCTCTGGACAACACCATAACTAAACTAGAATATTTTCCATGTTGCGTTTCCTACCTTGACAGCAGCTTGAAAAAACCCCAAAAGGTATACCTATTAGAAACATTCTCCATGAATCCCAGGAAACATCCCCTACCACTCACTGTGCTAGACAAGCCTTAGCTAACATGATGTTAGGCCAATTCCATATATAGAGTATAGGAGAGTATACACGGACTGAAATTGTTTCTCACAAATGAACTGCGCAAATCACAGCGCCTTTATCTCCTGCACTGAAACATTGCTCAGTGCACCTCCAGTGGTGTTTTGCATACTTTGGAGTGAAAGTGTAATAACCTATAATGAAACCAGGAGATACAAGTTACTATAAGGAGACTGCAATATACATAGTATACAACTGTATTCACATAGTTGGATTTTTACTTTAACTAGGTATATTCTGTTTTTTTATGCAGATTGTGGAGTTCGACAAGCCATCAGTCCTTCTGTCTAATGAACAATCTATTTTTCATGCCATGGCAGTTGTGGCAGAAAGAACAATTTTTCCTGTATCTTGACTAGTCTTAACTGAGGAAAGAACTGTATGCTAAATGCAGAAGAATGCAAACTCAATGGCGAGCAACGTGCCTACTTGGCTTTACTTAGTCCTACACAAGCAATACATGGGCCTACAGCTACAACAATGAAAATGCCTGCAATTGGAAGGCACAGGTGTAGAACTCCGCAATTACCAGGCCCACACATCTAGAATCTTAAGGTTCCTACTGGCATGATTAGTGGTTGGACACGCTGGCATGATCCAACCATCTAAACGTCTTTTGGTGTAAAAGCTCTCTCTCTGTGAATGTGCAAATAGGAATATGTTAAACATGCATATTTAAACCCATAGAGTTTGGAGGGAGAACACTCAGTAGAAACCCTTGGAGCTAGTCAAGCTCTTAAAGCGGACCTTTACCATCAAAAATCAAATTCTACTATTAGATCCCTCTATGTATAATGATTAATAATAACATAGACATGTCAGGTGTAAAATGCTGTGATTTTGAAATACTTACACTTGCAGAGCATTCACTTTCTGCTTTGAAAGTGCAAATGACTTCAGTTTGCCAACTCAATGCACACTGGGATTGCCTTGTCAGCTGGGAAATCTCATCTGTAATCTCAGGAGATCTTAGAGAAAGGCATTTTCCTCCCCTGAGATGATGTGCATGGTCACATGTGCCAGAAATCCAGGAAGTAATAGGAAATCTAGTAATCTGCCCTTAGTAAACATGGCCACTGTCAGGAGACTGGGGAAAATAAGAATAATACGGTATGCAAAGAATACAAAGCCGGCAATTATCTAGAAGTATGTGTTTGTAGATTGTCATTACTAGACATTTCTAAAGGTGTGTTTATTGTTATTTTAAAGATATGGGTAAAGGTCCGCTTTAAGTCTACAGTTATTGGCTGGTAACATCCTGCTTGAACTGCATACAGTTATTTGATAGCTGCGTAATCCAACTGAACCAACCAGATTCAACAAAGTTGTTCTTATGGCTGTAGACACCTTAACTATATTTGGTTTTATCAGTGCCATGCCCTTCTTATTCCTAACTTTAGATAGGAGAGTCCAGATTTTGGGGCTTCAAATCAATCAGGTGGTCAGCCAGTTTAAAAAGTATACCTTATGTGTATGTGTAATTTCATGTGAGAACCCATCTTGTACTATAAATATTAGGTAAGCATATATTTATGTTGCATTTTAATTATCATCACAAAAAGCTATGCAATTTTGAAAATAGTGCTACACACATATTAATGTATTCAAGTGCAATTAAAACAATGTGCATTATCAACATATTGATAGAAAGTGGGGTTAAGGTACATGAGCAATATAGTAACAGGTAGTGAAATAATACCAAGCAATCGTCGAATTTGGGAGCATTGTTTGCCAATGTCAGGCTTAACATGACTACCGTTTCTTTACCGTTGCTCAGCGTGTAATAGCTGTGCTTGTTGGAAGGGAAGGGGGCATGGCTGTATATGTATAATCCACATAAAGTGAATGGAGGATACAAATTATTATTTTGGTTTGAATAGGTCAGGAATGAATAAATCAATGGGAATCCAAAGGAAAGACCTTTCTTTTGTTGTAGTGACTCTAAGACTTGCCTGTCGTCAAGGAGTCACCCAGCCCTTATAGGACTCTCCATAGGTGAATATGGACAATGAAGAGACTTTAAAATTTGGGTTTGGCCAGCTAAATGCCACTCTTCAGTGATGAAGATTTGGTAGAGTATAGTAAATCAGAAACATATAATTAAAATGGAGCATATTGCAATAACTCACTGTAGCTATGATAATGTGGATATATGTCTTAATACAGAACAGATTCTGCTGTTCTGAATGTACTGTAATTTTTAAATCTATCCTGCACACGTGAAGGATGTCTTCAGAGGAACCATGGGAATAGAATAAGGGTAGAGCCAACTCTGCTAAACAAAAATATTCACATTGGATGTATGTAGACATTCTGGAAATTCTAAATGCAAGGTATACAATCAACAATAAAGTATATCTGATTGATGGACAGGACAAGAGTGCAAAGTTGGGCTTTAAAGGGGAATCTAAAAAAATTAACCCTTGCGGTGGCGCTACTTCCACATTGCAAGGGTTAAATGCTCGTTTTGGTCTAGGAGCTCAAATAACGAAATATACTCACCTGATCCTTGGCTCCCTTTGGCTGCTAGGCCGCTACCTGTCGTCCCTTTTCCCCTGGACATCGGTGGTCTGAGGGCCCATAACATCATCACATCTAATGCAGGTCCATTCACTTGCAGTTTTCTTTTTTGGTCATATTTTTAGTGTTTCTGGTGCCAGGGAGAACTTCATGTATCTGTAGTTTTCATACGCCAAGATAAAATAATTTGAAGCCAGAGAATGAACTTGTTTGGCACAGAGGGACAGGATTAGGGATTTTGTTGTGGGCACACAATCACAGTGGAGATGGCAGTTGTGGGACCATATGCAACTAGGCCACTTTCTACAGTTTTTTTTTTCAATGTGTGTATGAAAAGTATATATTTTATTCAAACTTCACAGTTTTATAAAGCTGCATCCGAAGATTCTTTCATTTGTATTAGAATGGCATGGAATACTGCCTGAAATGTGCACTTTGGAGAACTTTTCATTGTTAGTATTGTATAAATATCGGTGTTGTTGGTAAATTATTTAAGATTGGTGTATTTATGATGACTAGATGAATAAACTAATATTTATTTAAAAATGTTGGTTGTGTTGACTAAATGTATAAAAATGTAATCATTCTTCATAGAGTTTACATAGGGTGGACTATACTAGGGTATTTGTATAGCGACAACAATTTACACAGCGCATTACATACTGCACCATTTCACAACAGTCCCTGCGCTGAAGGAGCTTACAATCTAAGGTTGGATCTATCTCATTTGCACACATACAAGGACAATTTAGATAGGAGCCAACTAGCCTACCAGCATGTCTATGAAGTATGGGAGCAAACCAGAGTACCCGGAGGAAACGCATGTAAGCATAGAGAGAAGATGCAAATTCCATGCAGATAGTATCCTGGCCATGTTTCAAACTGGAGACCCCACTACTGCAAGGCAGAAAGTCTAACCACTATGTCTTTGAGCTATAGTTAACATTTAAAAATTTATGTCACTCTTCATTGTCTGCATGATTTTTTTTAACCCCTTCGTGACTGACGACGTACAGTGTACGTCGCCAGCATCGGGGCTGTTTAAACAGACTCCCGGCGACTTTTGCCGCCGGGAGTCTGTTTAAACTTGTAGAGCCGACTGTCGGCTTTACAACAGAAGCGATCCTGGCAACTTAAATACTACAGGGTGCTTTGATTACATGTTTGCAGAGCAATCAGCACTTTCTAATAAGGCTAGTCAGCAAGTAGCATCTCGCTTTAGGATTTTCTTTTTCAAATTGATATTCCACAAAGAGCTGCATGAACTACAGGCAGGGAGCATTGCACTCTGATTATTTATTATAACTAATATACAAGCTGTAGCAGATAGTTGATGTCCCGTGCTGTCAGTTCATAGATTCTGGGTCACAATCTGTTTTTCTGGCGCTGCCTGGTGCCCTCCTGAAGTGGCAATACTAATACTGATTGATGGTCTGTATTTGCATAGCCCCCTTAGCAAGAATGCCCCAAGAAAGGTCCAATGTTGTAAGCGCTCTCTGAAAGGGTTTGCGTGTCATACGTTGGTGTGTAACTCCTGGTAGGATCAGACTGGGGTGTCGTGTGTTTGCTGTAAAAAAACAAATATGGAAAAACCGGAGCACCACAACCTAGGGCAAAAACTCAGGTGTGGATGGGACAAGGAGTACAAACAGTATTACACTCACATGTGGGAGGGTTGATAGGAGCTCAATAAATGAACCAATATGGTGCAGCGTGGTGTTCTCAAGCTAAAGCTGGTGAACTTCCAGTGGTGGCCAGGGCTCCTCGGGCTCACAGGGTGTGGATGGGGACAGTGGAGCCGGGCAACAAGAAAGATGCAAAGACAGCAAATGGTGTAATACTGGTATGAATGGAACGAGAAGAAGTGTATGCACTAACCCTTACACAAGATGATATTTTGTGTGCGGAGGTCTGCTGGTGACCACGGTGGGGCTGAATCTCCTTTCAGTGCCTGGACAGATGTTGTAGATGGGCTATCCTTTAGGGTCAGGGATGGTCTTGTGGAGTCCAGTGTTGATCGAGCATTGATGCTGCTGGAGGTGGATTGGAGCCCAGTGAATGGCTCTGCCGCTGGTGTGAAGAGCAGGAGGCGGCGATACACTGACGGTGCAGTGGTATGCGCCGCTGAAGGGGTGGGGGAGAGATACAGCTGGAGACAGGAGGACAAGACAGGGGACAGGCAGCAGAGAGGAAATTAGTGGAATGAAGGAGGGGGGAACAATCGCGGTACAGGACCGCTGTATGTGGAGGTAAGGAGGCGACGCATTTAGAAGTTGGCACTTCTTTATCAGGCCTGGCTTTTTCATTTTTGTTTCCTAGTGAGAAAGCACCTGCCTGCCGCTAAGAGATTGAGGCAGGGGAACTATAGTGAAATTAGACATTTGGGGAGTGGAAATCTAGGCAGCAGTGGAGAATTGGGTGACTTGTACATGCTGAACATCTAAGAGGTTTCACTTTTCTTTTCCACATAAAAGTGCTTAAATTAAACCAAACACTTTAGCCCTATTTCAGCATTCTGTCCCTCTGAAGGTTCCATTCTAATTTATTCTGGTGCATTCCTTCTCTATTGGTCTACAGTTCAAAACAAATTACTGGGCTCTATTCAACAAGCTCAACACGCAGTTGAAATAGATATTTGGAATTTATTTCCCCAAGCAAACCATTTGTATTTCTATCCATCCAATTCTGACCTTTACAAAGCTCTGCCACATAGCACAGCCAGATAGGTGACATGACCCTTTCTGTCCTGCAATTAAGCAATACAGCATGGTCACTACCGTCAGTATGCTCCTTGTCAGAGAATGTACACTTCAGAACTCCTGAAATACAAGAGGCTTATATCAAGTCAATGCCAGGTACTTAAAGGAGAACTATGAGGCGAGTGCTTTTCACTCACCTCATAGTTCTAGCCGACCTGTGACAATGAGACTGTCACAGGTCGGCTCAGTAGATCGGGAGTTGAGCGAACACATACAGCCGTTCGCTGACCTCTCGATCCTGTCACGGCTCTCTGCCGTGACAGGGGAGGGGCTGGATTCCCCCCTCCCCGATCCGCCAGCGCTGACTGGCGGAACGGACGGGGGAGGGTACAGCTGGCTCTGCCTCTAGATAGGCAGAGCCAGCTGTCAGTCACGCAGCTGGGCGGATCCCGGCCCAATTGTCGGGATCCGCTTCAGCTGCGGCGTCTCAGTATACCGCGAGCAGCAGCTCGTGGTATACTGCGGCGTCTCAGTAGCTGGCGGTATACTGAGCCTAGGGTGACAGGAGAACGCTAGTTTGTGTCCTCCCGTTACCCTAAGGAGAACTATGGGGAAAAGCCTTAACCCCATAGTTCTCCTTTAAACTAGTTGCATTTAAAAATACACCAATCTGTGTTTTAATAAATGCACAACTACATTCATTTGTGTGTTTTTTTTCTACTTCAAGTTCAGTTTTAATTCCTAAATGTTGAAGTGCTTTTATTAGTGTAATTAGTCTCAATAAGAATGTCCAAATTTCAAAATTGATCCGGGAAGATCCATCTGCTTCAATACAATGCCAAGTGCGGCAGCTTCTATATCAAGTACGGGGCTTAATAGCAACACAAAGGTAGATTCCCAAGGGGATTTCGATACTTAGAGAACAACAGACACGCCATTAGGAGATAGAAGCAGATAAACATTTTGTAAAATCTTCCATGACAGAATAAGGTAATATCCAACATAAAATGCTGCTGCAAATCAAAAAACTGTAAATGACACGAACACTTATTCTGTACAAAAGATTTATTTAACAAACTACATAGAAATAACAGGTGCTAGGATTCCACATATTTGGTCTCCACTGGCTGCAGCCTTTTACAGATCACCAGCTCGCCTTTACTGTTCAGGTAAGTGCTAGACATTTCCTCTTCTGCTGGAAGACCATACGAGAACAAGGAGCCCTCCTCATTTCTCCAAAATTCACAAGTCCGTGATAAAATGGTCAGGTTTAAAATCTTATGTTTGGGGGTGGACAGCCAGAGACAGTAAGACACTTGATCTAACCCCCCCCACTTGTACACAGCTAAGATTAAGACACATTAACACAAAGCAGAGGAGGTGACAAATGTAATGAAAGTCACAGACCAGATTAATGTACAATTGACAGAAAAAAGCCACGCGGTAGAAGCAAAGCAGAGTTGTCGTTAACCCCCATTAGCCACAGTCTTTAAAACACTGCTAATGGAGGCCTGAAGTAAATGCCTTGTTGTGAACAGCCTAATGAGGGATATATATCTCTTAGAATGGGGGTAGTGACCTATAACATAACGCTGAACTGTACAGAGTTACATTTCGTACAATTTCCATAATTCCTTCTATGAAAGGCCAAGGGCATACGATTCACTATTTACCCCATTTATTGTACTGAGCTAATGGTCTGTTTTGGAATATTATTTCGTTCAATATTTTCTTGCACTGGTTTTCTTTTAATGAAAACAATATTTAAACCTGAATTTCTAATTGTTCTAAACCAGAAATTAAAGAACCCCTGTCTCTGTGGGGGTTACCACATTTTAAAACTGTGTTACAGTGCTGTCATGGCGTGGCAGCAAGTGTCACAGACATTTCTTAAAGGTCAGAATTGCAACAACAGATGCTGTGAACGGTGCGCGGTCCGCCTCAAATACGTGGCGGCAGCTAACAATTGCGTGTGTAAAGGTCAACTGCAGAAATAACTTGCCGATAGATTGTTGACCCGTGAGCTGGAAATCTCTGCCTAGGGTGAGGCTGAGCGTACAATCATCAGAATCCAAATCAGCAAATGTATCCAACGCTGGCCATACACTGGGTGCCCCTGTGAACCCAGCATCCCTCGATTAGAAGATCGATGGAGCCGGCTGGAAAATCTTTTCTTGCTTTCAGCCAATCCACAGCAAGCACCATTTGGGTATTCTGACAGCGGCAGGCGCCGCTGTCAGAATACAAAGCATACTGTGCAAGTTTCGTACATACATGCTGTTTAGCATGGATGGGGGAATCGGTTATATTTTTTTCGGTCAACTGGAACGAACAAAATATATATAACAATGTATATCCTATCTTAGCTAGCATGAAAGCCATTGACTCAACATTTTCAAGGCAGCTAGCATTTTTAAAAGTAGTTGTATGTAAAGGCAGATTTTTTTGTTTCTCTCACTACAAGTTTCCATTGAAGACAAGTACATCTACATCTCATTGTACACTGGGTTATGGGAAGCTTCTCTATGCTGTATGGGCACCAGTATTATTTGAAATTCTCACCTATCTATATTATGTATTCACATTCTACTGTTTTGTGCCTCATTGCTCTCTTTGCCAGGAGCTCCGCTTTAGTCTTCTACTGTTAGCACAAGGTCTGATGGTTGTTTGTTACTCTGTATATTTCTTTAAAATTAATAAAAATGTATTGACAGTTAAAGACAAGTACATCACTTGTGCATGAAAAGCCTGGAGCAGACATCCCCAAACTCAGGCCACATACTAGTTCCTGCTTACTGGTATCAGCTGCCAGCTATAGCCTACAGACAATCCTGAACTGCCACACTGCTTTTGTGCAAGGCTCCATTTGCTGTTGGTACATTGTGCAAACATATTAAAATGATGAATGGCAAATGATGATTAATTTCTAATACATGGTAATACATGAATAAACTCTATATAGAGAAGCACAGTTATACATAATGGGGTCTAATTTTGTAAACAGACATCTGTTTTTTAAGTCTTTAGGGTTGATTTACTAAAGGAAAGAAAGGTGTTCACTAGAGCTGCAGCTAACGATTATTGAGTTCGATTAATCGGTTAAAAAATAAAATACATTTTAAAAAATGGCTCCAGTGATGGACTACTAGTTTGTATTGAGATTGCAGTACATCACAGGAGCAAGCTTGGAGCGGTGGAAGTAAATACGAAAAAAAAAGTGTGGTGTGCAATATAGTGTAAAATGATATAGCAATGAATGCAGCATGGCACCGGCTATAGAGCACTACAAATCCCAGCAATTGTACAATATACAGCACAATACCGAATACCACCAGCTATATAGGAATACAACAAATGCCAGCAATACATTATAGCTGGCGGTATTCTGCATTGCGCTGTATAATGTACTATTGCTGGGTTTTGTAGTCCTCTATAGCTGGCGGTATTCTGCATTGCACTGTATAATGTATTATTGCTGGGATTTGTAGTCCTTTATACAGCGCAATGCAGGATACCACCAGCTAGAGGGAAACAACAACAACAACAAATCTCAGCAATAGTACAGTATATATGTAGTGTATAATGTATTGCTGGGATTTGTATTCCTATGTATAATATAGAGCACAATGTAGCATCAGCTATAGAGGAATACAAATCCCAGCAATACATTATAGAGCACCATATGGGGGAAAGTGCAGGCTTACCTGAGCAGTCTTCCAGCAACTTGTTTCTGAGATCGGGCCTGTCTATCGGCGATTGTCATCACCCCACACCTGCTCCTCCTTACTTCTTCTCCCCGCGTCCCTTTGCCAATCGTGGATGTGGGAGGGCGATGAGCGTGATGCGGGGGAGGAGGTGCGGCGTGTGGAGCGTGGATGTGGGCGGGTCTGGCAGCGGCGAGCGTGAGGTGGGGAGGAGGTGCGGCGCGTGAACAGGGCTAACTAACAACAGAAGCCGATTAATTGATGATTGAAAAAGTTGACAACTTTTTCAATAATCGATTATAATCGATTATGTCGATTAGTTGTTGCAGCCCTAGTGTTCACTTTGCAAGGGAATTATCCCCTAGCTTACTGAATGTGGTAAATATTAACTTTGCAAAAAGTGACAAGGGGGGGAAAAAAAACACGTTATTGGATGAAAGAAGTCAGCAGAGTTTTACCTCATTCACAAAGCTAAGGAAAAAATCCCCATGGAAAGCGAAAATGCCCCTGCAAAGTGAACAGCCCATTTGCCTTTGCTAAATCAACTCCAATAAGAGGTAATCATAATGCAAAGATTTGTCTTGAGCCCCTGTATTTTAGGTTTACCCGCAAAGATGATTGGCAGAGATAGAAACATACCTAACTAAGTGCTTGATCATTTTAAGCTGTTCATTGACTGCTGGGATGTTCTTATGGATTACTGGCTTGTAAGCCTGGAAAATATATATTAAAAAAAACACCTCGTTAAAACAATGTACAGTATATATACTTAAGACTATACAAGCAGTGTGGGTTTCATACATAAACGGTTACACATCTGTCACAAGACAAGTTACAGTACACTACCTTTTCGAGTCCAAGCCTCCTTACTACATCCTTTTCCCAATATGGCCTTCCAATAACGGAACGTACTCTAGTGATAAGGTGTAGCTTGTGTGGCTGTTGTGGATCTCCCCCATATTTTTCATGGTCTTCAGGCTTTGGCTGAAAAGTCTAAATGGATCATATACAAACAAATAGTGTAAAAACAGTTTCATAATATTATTCATATTAAAAAAATTAATTATAAAAATTATTTAAAATAAACAATTACTTGGTTTCAGGGTTTAACCATCAAATGGCTCCTTAGATCTCTCAGGGACTCTAGTGAGATCTGCTCATCAACCAGGGACGATGGGCAGAGGAAATTCCATTCTACATGTTAGATACAACACATCGTTTTTATTATATATTGTAGTATACTGCACAAACGCATGGATTCCGTACGCTTGCGGCTATTACTATAGCTGAAACGTGCGGAATCCGCCTAAAAAAATCACGTTTGGACTATTTTGCGGGACGTGCGGTATCGTACTGCACAGCTGACGCAATAGTCTGAACAATGCACATTGCAATGCATTTTTTAAATTTATGTTTAACGCGGTTCCACGCGCATTTGTGCAGCCGAATACGCTTGGAAAATGTGTGAATGGAGCTTCACAGAGCAGGCTTGTCGTGGGGGACCATAAAAGCAATTGACCAGGAAAATCAAACCCAGCCTAGTGTTTTCTCCTCAGAAGGGTAAGCCAGGGGATATCTAGAGAGGTTAGGGTGCATATAGACCCAAGCTTAAAGCTGATATTTGTTTTCTCAGAAACACATCTATTTTAAGAAACGTCTAAGAGCACACGTAAGGTTCAGATGGAGGGTGGGAATGTATGCCAGCAGAAGTAAAACCTAGTGCCATGTTCTTTAGAGCCCAAGGACTATTTTTGGTCAGTGTGCAATGAAAAGTGAAAATTGGTGGAAAGAGGTCTTCTGATGTTCCGTTGGTCCATTTACTATCAATCACAACCCTTTAAATGGCCAGCCTTAAGGCCTCTTACTCAATATTAACTATACTTCTCCAACAGCTATATGCACCTCAAACACTGCATCTAACATGGTATGTATGTTCAATGCCAAGTACTGGTTCCTGGGATCTATGTCATCTTTCTGGAGGATACATCCTGTGGATGGCAATGTTAGGCATACAGGCAGCCAATGTTAGGTATACAGGCAGAATACATTCAAGATTAGGAGCTTTAGAGACACAAGAAAGAATTTTAATTCAATCAGCCAGTATTTATATCTGATAACATGCTGATTCCCTGTGCCTTTAGAGCTCACCACCCAAAACTTCAGTAGGCCAACACCATGCTTCACAGTGGGGATGTTATTCTTGCCGCTATAGGCCTTGTTGACCCCTCTCCAAACATAGCCCCATAAAGTGTGACCATAAAGCTGTATTTTATGGTTTATGTGACCATGAAGCTCTATTTTGGTCTTGTCACTCCAAATTACAGTGTGCCAGAAGCTATGCAATGTGTTAAGGTGTTATCAGGCATATTGTAAACCGGCTTTTTTGTGGCATTAGCACAGTAAAGGCTTCTTTCTGGGAACTCGACCAGCAGCTTGTTTTTGTTCAAGTATCGTCTTATTTTAGCACAGACACAAACAAGCACTTTACCCTTGCAGTGCGGAGTTAGCCCAGGACACTATCCTAATCTAAAAAAACAAAAACACTTCAAACTACATTTTATACATGACGTTGTTTAACATTATATTTGTGCAACTGTTTGTAGGAAAGATTAACATGCAAGCATACAACATTGTAAGAGGTAACAGTGAACGCTCACCTCTTCAGGAATACGCGATCTTGTGAATTTATGGCGGACCGAGCCAGGCCATACCAGTGACAGAACAGGGTGGTCTGTAAAAAGCTGCATACCAAACATATAGTCAGCAGTAATATGCATAAGGGGATCAGTCACAAAGAACACAATTACTGTGTAGAATTCTATGAAGTGGGCTGCATTTCTCTGAATATTGAGCCACATTCTAGTTCAAGGGCAACGACACTGAAACCATTTGGTGCTGATTGATATATATGGCCCAGAATTAGGATGCAGCCCACAAATCAGAGAATACTAGCTCCCATTACAGACTTCTTACCACGGCCAAACCATTCATTTGAACAACAATTTTCCCATAAGATTATAGGTCTATTTTATGGATGTTATGATATATTATACTTCGGTCAACACAGAGAGTATTTAGATACTCACAGGAAGGGAAAGGGCTATGACGTTACAAAAGGCGGGGGAAACTGTGGCAATACTAGAGAATTCACTCTTCCTGGAGTAGTAGAATTCCCTAGCAAGTTGAAAGGCACATTACAAGTGAATAAAACATTGTTATGGATAAGACTTTGCAGAAAAGGAGCATTTAAAATACTTTGTCTGTGCCTTCACCTGCATTTTGTGAAATGTATGTAAATCCTAACAATGAACTTCTCTTATTTGTGTCCTTTTGGTCTGTTCAATAAGCCATTAAATGTGTTCCTCTCCATACTTCCTGTGTTATCTCAAAGAGCCCTCTGAGTTCTTATCTCAGACTATAGAATGATCAGAGTTTATGCTGTACAGGTTTGAGAGTGGGTTTAGCAGAAGACACTGGGCAGGGCTGACACCAGTCAGTCCACAAAAAAGGTTGTGGGTTGTTAGCCCACAACAGGACTTAGGAGTTGAGTGCATTTCAAACAGGACAAAGGGTATTTTTCTCTACTTGCATGCACTGCAAATGCTTTTCATTTATTTTGTCTTGACATATGCTTTAGGTTGAGAACAAGGTCTCTTTAAGAGGAAAAATAAATGAATAGTTAAAAAACAAAGACATGTCCAGGCAATGCACATTAAAAATATCTATTTATAGTCAATGCACAGGTAGGAGGGCTGCAGACACCTAAAAGATCTGGAAATGTTTAGAACAGGCCATTTAGAGCAATAGACAAACAACCCCAAACTATTAGGGCCTGTTCACAGCTGTGCACTGCAGTAATGCACATGCATTTTATGTGCGTTGCATGTGCATGATGTTAAGAAGCCCATTGATTTTGAATGGGCCACAATTTCCTTAATGCAATACACAGATCATTCACATCTGTGCCCTATGGTGCATTACAATGCACATGAGCTGCAGTGCAATGTGTTAGTGCATTGGGTGCTATTCAAAAAGAATAGCTATACAATGCACTGCAGAACACATATTGCTTCATGTATAAAATGTCCCCACAACACATACTTGTCAGCGCCATTTTTATAACTTTTTTTTCATGTGTCTTTCTCTTTTTTTCGTGTGTTAAGTGTTCCTGTTTTGGCCAATGAGGTTGGCCTGTTGCGCTAAAATGCAGGAATATCCATTTTACATGAGTCTATCGGGCTAAAAATTAATTTTTTAAAGTGGGCTGGAAGTGGGCTGCATAGGTGTGACCGAGCCAAGAATGGGGGCTAAGACCCCGCTCAGACTTATGCAACAGAGTGCACTTGTATGCGTCTTTTTGTGTAATGCGTATAGGGCAGCCGATTCACTTCAATGGGCTTCCATATGCACAACAAACGCACCAAAGAAGTCCCTGCACCTTTTTTTCGAAACATACCACAACATAATCCACGTTGCTTTGTTACCACATGTTTTTAATGTGACTGCACACCTGTGAAAGCGCTGGATGGAGCAAGATGCATTGGTCTGGTCTTGTCAATGAATGGCACTGCAGCGCATTCTACAAAGTGACATGTGTTTCGCCATACTAGGAAAACACGCATTTTCGTGCACACTGCAGCAGGACACATATGTGAAAGGGGGCTAAAAGTTAAATATAGGGCTATGACAAATTCACACATGACCTGTTTTTTTTGTGGAAATGTCAGTACCAAAAATAAATTGTGAGTGCTTTGTTCAAGGTAGAGAAACAAAAAGATGTGAATTCATGTCTGAGGTATACCTTTAATCCTATTGTTCTTGTTTGTACAGCTTTACAGAATCCCAATGCCATTCTGATTTACTCAGCTTCAAATGCCCTAAGAGAGACCATAAAAAGAAAAAATAATTTAGGTGGTATTAAACCCTCCTCTTTTTTTTTAGCTGTAACATATACCACAAAACTGGAGCAGACGAAATCTGGAACAGTTGCCCATAGTAACCAAATAGCTTATCTCCTTAGTTTGTTCAGTTAAGCTTTGAAAATGAAAGATATAAGCTGACTGGTTGTCGTGTGGGGCTGAAACAACTAATTGATAAAGTCGATAATGAAAATCGTTGTCAGTGATATTAATTATCGATTAGTTGGTCGCTTGATTAGTTGAGCTGCTTGCACCCTCACTCCCTCCCCCTCACTGCCTGACTGTTGTGATGGACACTGCCGCCTCCTCCTCCTCTCCAGGCTTCTCATAGTGGACTGAGGGGATAGATGGAGCCGTCCCGGCGTCACCTGGTGTCCCGGTGAGCGCAAACTGACCATTCAGTGACTGTTTATATTCGGGACCCGCACCCTCCCCATGTCTCGGCTTCCTCCTCCTCTCCGGGCTGCTCATAGTGGACATGAATAGAAATGAACAACCAGTCTACCTAGTGTGTACTACCGTATGAGTTGCATGTGAAAGGTGTGCGTATTATGTACCATGCGCTATAAAATCTCATTGCACAATCTCCTTTAAGCTGGCCATACACTATAAAATCTAGTTGTACAATCTCTTTTAATTCTACCACAACTATGTAAAGACAAACCGGAAAAATCAATTTAATTAGTATCAAATCAGGCAAGCCTTATACATAGAAGATCTAAAGGCGATTGTGCAATCAGACTGTAGTGTGTATGGTGAATTACCAAAGATATGTAACAGGGGAACCTAACTAATCTGTAACTAATCAGACAGCATCTTGCACTACATAGTTGTTAGTAGATCGAAATAAGATTGTGCAATCAGATCGTAGCGTGTGTTACTAGCTTCACAGACATAAGATCTGAAAAGTGTCTGCTGGAAAACCTTTACACCTGCTGTGCGACTAAACACTGCAGCTTCAGCTTTAAAGTACAGTCACGTTTTAGAACTCCGGGACGTCCGGACATTGGGAGTCACTTAATAAGTTCGAGGTTGCACGGAGAGGTCTCATTTACCCGTATCTGCGAAAGTGGCCGGGGTACAGCTATGGACAATCACCCCGATGACCGGTCAGGACAAGGTCACAAAACGGACCCCCGTCTTCTCTCCTAACACTTGTCAAAGGAGACCGCGCGTGGAGATGACGTCAACTTACAAATAGTCGCAGCGTAAAAATATTACCAAAAACAGTCACATGATCCTGAGCTTCTTCCGGTCTGTGAAACGCGGAAGTTTAAACATTTGAGCTGAGGCTCTGTCAGTGATTCTGTACCAGTGGTGTGAGGAGCAGGTTCTGGGTCATAAGTCTAGTTATGTCTGTCCTGTCCGGTGTAGAGAATTCGGCAGGAGTGGTGCTCAGGAGAGCGGTGGAGCTGGACGGCAGTGGCAGATACCAGGAGAGCTTGGTCTGCTACCAGGAAGGCATCGACCTGTTGCTTCAAGTGTTAAAGGGTCAGTACATGACAACAGTGTATGGGGTGAGGGTAGGAGGGCTGAAGGGTTAGTGAATTACAACAGTGTATAGGGTGGGGGTAGAAAGCTGAAGGGTTAGTCCATGAGGACTATATATGGGGTGAGTGTATCAGGCTGAAGGGTCAGTCTATGGCTAGGAGGTAGAAGGGGTAAGGGTTAGTCTATGAGGACAATGTATTGGGGGAGGTTGAAGGGTCAGTGTATGAGGTGAGGGTAGAAGGGGTCTGAAGGATCAGTGCATGAGGACAGTGTATGAGGAGAGGGTCTGAAGGGTCAGTGTATGAGGAGAGGGTCTGAAGGGTCAGTGCATGGGGCAGTGATTAAAGGGTAACGGGTCACTTCATGAGGGCAGTGAGTGGGGTTGGGTTGGGAGGGATGGGAGTCCAGTGCATGAGGACACTGAATGGGGTAAGGGTAGTTGGGCTGAAGAGTCAGTGTAAGGGATAAGGGTAATAGGACTGGAGGAGCAGTATATGGAGTGGAGGCAGGACTGAAGAGTCAGTATATGGGGTAAGGGTAGGAGGACTGAAGGGGCAGTGCACGAGGACAGTGTATGGAGCGAAGGTAGGAGGGCTGCAGGGTCAGTGTATGGGGCATGGGTAGGAGGGCTGCGGGTTCAGTGTATGGGGCATGGGTAGGAGGGCTGCGGGGTCAGTGTATGGGGCACGGGCAGGAGGGCTGCAGGGTCAGTGCATGCGGACAGTGTCAGGGGTGGGAGTAGAAGGCTGATGGGTAAGTACATAGGTGGGGGTGTAGAAATACCAAGGGGTCAGTAGATAAGGACACTGTATGGTGGGGGATTATGAGGCAAAGTCAGTTTATTGTCAATAATTTGTTGCCTAATTTTTAAAAGTATAATGTGAACCTTTTAAAGAGAAACATAACAAGACAAGAAGAGCAGCAATGTCAGCCCTATATATATCTGAAAGCCCAACTCCACAGAAATTAAAAGTTTTTCCTGCTGTGGGGCTGAGCCAATCTTGACCCCCCTCTAGAGTTCTAAGGACCACTGGGATCATCAAGTACAATGTAGGCTCCATAGCCCTGCTTTGTAAGTGAAGACAGTCAGGTACAGTCCACAGTCGGAGCACAGGTGGAGAAGAGAAGAGCTCTGTTTGTCAGGAGAGCGTGGATTAGGTATTTTACACTCATAGTTATAGCCAATGTGTGACATTCATTGTCACACATTGGCTGTCACATGGCGACTCTATAGATCGGGAAGTGAGCAAAAACATACTGCCGTTCGCTCAATTTCTGATCATCTCCCTGCAGAAAATGGTGACTGTCAGTCACTGCTCCCCGCAGGGATTCCCCCCTCCCATCTCCGATCCTCCAGCGCTGACTGGAGGAATGGATGGGTAAAGGGGCGGACACAGCTGGCTCCATCTCTAGATAGGCAGAGCCTGCTGTCAATCAGCCAGCTGGGTGGATTTCGACAGTATTGTTGGGATCCGTCCCGGCTGCGGCGCTCTCAGTATATAGCGGGCAATATGCTAGTTAGTATATGTCCTCCCGTGACCCAAAAGAGAACTGTGGGATAGTTCTCTTTTAAGGGCAAGACATGGTCTGAAAAGTTAAGCATGCAGTGAAGTTACACGAGCAGGTGTAACAAATGGAATTTACAGAATCATTAGTACAACCCCAATTCCCCAACAATTGGGACGTTGTGTACAATCTACATAAAAACCGAATGTAATGATCTGCAAATCTCATAAAGCCATATTTTATTCACAATAGAAAATAGAAAACATATCAAATGTTTAAACTGAGAAAATTTGCAATTTTAAGAAAAAAAAGGTTTACAGTGTCCCAACTTTTTTGGATTGTAAATCCAGCCATCATGGCAGCTCAAGATTTGTATAAATATTCACTTTTTATGTAAAAGTCTGGGCTGCGCCTCGCCCGCTACTGCCTTGTTAGAGTCCCCAATGGGATGCTAAGCCTCACTAAATAAGAAGGTCTGGGAGGTAGGAGGGGGCAGCTCGGATTTTACAGGAAGAGACACACAATTCATATATGATTTAGGACAGGGCTGGACAACTCCCAGGAGCCAGGTATCCAATATTATTTTATAATTTACAGATGGCGTCTAACTTTTGAGGTTTTAGGTTGTTAATGGAGCTGGTTCCTGGATTGTACAGACTGGCTCCTGAGGTCCATAGTAATTTGTGCACCCCTGATTTTATGCTACCTTTATGACCTCTTATGCTAATCCTTTTGATTATGGGGTTTTCACTAAATGTAACCTCTAAACGTGAATTTGTTGCTTTATGTTAACATGTATATAATGTGAAATGTTCTGGTTTGTGTCCGGCTTCTTGGCTTACACAGGGTTTTTGTTTTTTTGTAGGTACAAAAGATGACGTAAAGAAAACACACTACAGACAGAAATTGCGAAGCTACATGGATAGAGCTGAGCAAATTAAACACCATGTGCTGAAAGAGAAAGAAGGTTACATGTCTTCTTCTTATAGATTTACAATGTACTTTTCTGAAGTAATAATATGAGGTAACTGTTCAGAGATTGCACTGCATGGGATGGTATGTAAGATGCAATATGAGTGTTTGACACCCATTCAGACTGCCCTTCTCTATCAGTGTTGCTGGCTTTATTAGTTTTTTTATTGGGTATTCGCCTCAGAGAAGGACAATTCACCAATGGCTTGATCTGCATGTGTAAGGAAAGCATTAAGACTAGCCCTTTTTACTGAATTTTACAGGACAATCAAAATATGTGGCAGGCCAGTTTTGGGATTCTTGGCAATAACAAAATAGAGCATACCTGATATGATTGACACTTAGCTTTTTCTTCAATGCAGAGGGAAAATATCACAAGCAAATCAAGATTGTAGAAAATGCAACCGGTTACAGTTATGAAAACCTTTTCAAGCCATATGTAGATGAAACTCTAACAGAAGTGTGGTTGGAGGACCCATATATCCGGCACGCTCATCAAGTAAGTGCGAACAGGGATTTCTGTCTCTGTTTCCAGTGCTGTAAGAGATGGTGAAGTGTTAAACTGATAATGTATAGATATCCATTATGTTATATAATGTAGATTATCATCAAGTATATCATTGTAACTTTATTTTAAAAGCTTCCCTTGGTGAAAATTACAAGATAGATTTTGTGCTATATATATTTGTTTCTGTCACATTCAAAGAGTTACACAGCATATCAAACACAGAATTTGACTCTGTTAGGAAAAATCATAAAAATAAAATCTCTCCAATGAAACAAGAGACAACAATGTTTGCTTTTTTTAGTGGAGAAGTATGTGAACAGTAATAGTTTTTGTCAGGTTTTAATAACTGCCACTGTGTTCCTTTCAAATTCTATTTGTCACCCCTAATTTGTGGACCTGGCAATAAAAATCTAACAGATGTTCCATTTCTTCTGTTGATCTGAAATTTAAAAACATTTTTAGTTACAGTTGGGCTTTAATATACAACTTTAAATATAGTGCAAATCCAGATAAAAAGATGGTGCTACTGATTTTATACGTCCCGTCATAGTTGCACAAATGTTTATAAAACAATATTTTCAATAAAAATACACTAAAATCATTATTGGTATACAAGTTAGAAACTTCCTTCTAAATATAAAAGATGAAACAGTACCGAGTAAATAAATAACAAATATTTGTACATTTTAAATATTGCCTTTGTGCGAAACTGTGAAAATTGACGGAGCACAAAACTGTAAATAAGCAACTTATGTTAAAAATATGGATGTTGGTTTCACACCTATACCTCGTGGTAACACCCAATCAGCAGTGCTGTGTGTGGGCTGCTTTAATGTGCGTTGCTATAAGCATACATTTTATCACAACACAGCATGTCACAACGCATTGTCATGCATAGCCTTGAACTTAATGTAATGAAATAAAAAAATCATCGCATCTGCACAACATACAAGTGCACATGTTATGTGGACTATAACGCACCCCTGCTGGTGTAAAAAGGCTCTTGGTGTGCTTTTCCACAATGTGCGTATTGCATGTGTACTTTATTTGTGGGTGGGAGCGGAGGTGTTGAAATATAGGTTCACATCTATACTGCATGCTACGGTAAAGTTTTATTTGTATTTAATGCTCATTTGAACTATCTTTATTTTTACAGCTGTATAACTTTTTACGATTTTGTGAAATGCTAATAAAGGGTCCTTCTAGGATCAAGAAAATCAACTTACTAACTTCAAGAGATGAAGTAAGTCCATTAGTGTTTGTGGTTCTATACTGCAAAGATGTTTACATAGAGTAGAAAGAGTCTGTCAGCATTCTGGCAGTGTTGCTCTTGCCTGTATTTTTGTTTCTACAGAGAATAGTGATTTGTCATCTGGTAACTCTTGTATTCTTTTCATTCAAAACATTTTTATGGATTTTCGCACGAAAAAAAGACAAGGACAAACATTCGTAATGGTAGGCACAAGCCTCCGGAAAACAACAAAACAAAAAAAAAACATCAACCACATTTGTAGAGCGCAAAGACAACAATATTATTGAATATGACGGTGGTATTATTAAACAATAGCAAGTTCCTACTGAGAGTATGAGAACAGTTCAGTAACATAAGGAAAGAGCAACCCCAAATGTGTCAGGGGACTCAAACCCTGTGCGATCCAATTAGAGACACAAAAACAGTCCAACTTGGGTGACCCCACCCCCCCCCCCCACCCC